AAGATTATCTTCTGTGTCTGTGTTAATTGGTTTCCCTTTTCTTTGTTGAAGAGGGTCTGTGCAATCCTTCTGCCTAGTCCGCCATCTTGCCCCGCCTCCTGTCCTTACATTCTTGAGTGAGAACTTGAAAATTTGTCAGGTTTTTAGAATTACCAGGGAAGTAAGTGTGAATAAAAGATCTGTTTGATAATGTTTAAAATTAACGTGTAAGCAGATGAAGGAGGATTTCAACTATTAAGTTTCTTTTTCATTTGCTTTTGCTTCTGGTAAAGAGGCATTTGTGTGTGTGTTTGTACCACATACCTCTTTACCTCAATTACTGGTTTGTTTGTATCTACAAATAACCTAAATAATGACCAAAACCCCTACCTAGTGATTGCTGGTACTCTCATTGGTCATATAGATTGTAAGCCTTGCCCTAATAAGAGTATAACCAGGGAACCGTGTTACCTAGAAATGAGTTTTTCAGATTCAAGGACTGTTTCTATACAAGCTCCCAAATACATGTGCATACAAAAAGCTGCCTGCCCATCAGTGTGCATGTGCACAGACAAGCGAGCTAAAACACACAAAGGGTGCCACTTCTTACCCACAGCACCTGTGACGCATACTTTCTCTTACATCATGTAGTCCTGCTGTGTGGGCCCACGTGTCCGAGGTCCTAATGCTTATGCACGCCTGTCGCCTTTTTCCAGCTCGTCTGCCTCCCCCACACTGGCTGTCATTTCTGCTCCTCTTGCTACCTGCAGCACCTGGCTGTTTGCCCTCCACCTAACCCTCCCAGTCTGCTGAGCGCTGGAAAGTCGTGCACTGAGCCTGGCTGTATGGCTTGTTTCAGGACAGATGGAAGAGGGCTGCCTCACAGGCTGTGGTTTCTGGCGCCATAGCCTTTTTTCCATTAAGTAGAAAATGGTTTTGTGTGGGCAGTTGGTTGAGGGAATTTTTTTTCTTGTCTGGCAGTGGAGCTGCCTACTGATTGGCTGAACATCCCCAAGAGCAGGGAGTGTTGGCAGGCCCAGAGGAGGAGCGACGGTGGCTGCTGCTGGCGGCAGCCGTTGCCCTCGCCCCAGTCCCTGGGGCACCCCCCGCCCCCAGACTTTGTAGAGCATTTGGTGGGTGGCTCCTCCCGACTGCCCTGCCTGCGCCCACTGTGCTCTGCTAGGTATGGAGGGAAAGGGTGTCTCTTCCCTTACTGAGTCCCATCCTGAAATATCTGGTGCAGTTTCATGTTTTTTTTGGTTTGTTTTTAACTTTAATGTGGTAAAATATAAATAACAAAAGTTGGCCGTTTTACCAGCATTTTTAAGTAGACAGTCAGCGACAGTCAGCTTGCACTCACTGTGTGGCCCTTCCTTTCAGGGGAGCATGGTCTCCCTTGGATGGACCAAGATGGTCTTTTTAACCACGCACATCTTCAGCATTATCTGAAGGGACGAAGACGCACTTGACCATGTGGAGTTGAGCATTAATGGAAAAGAAAAAAGTTTTCCTTGGTTTAAATGTGAACAGCTTGACATTTGATCTTGAAGTCTTATTAGGGTATGCCCTCATTGAACTAATGTGAGTTTTCAGTACCAGTCTGCATTACTCTTTTCCATTAGGGAATCTAAAAGTAGAGTGAGTGGTGGTGCAGCCTTCCACACTTGTAAACACTGTTGCCCTGACTTTTATCTTTGGTGGAATAGCCATTCTCATATGATAGATGCTTCATGAATTTATATTCTGGCTATTAATATCTTGCAGGGATTTATTTTTATTGTTGTTAAAACATCATTAGCCTGTGTTTGAAGGAATGCCCATACGGGTTTCTCATTGCATATTCTCTGGACCACTTGCCCTGTAAGATGTAGGTTTCCATGAAAAGCAGTTCACTAGCAAAGTCAGTTTGGGAAACCAAACCTATTGTGTTCTGCTCTTGAAGTTGTATAAAGTCTAAAAGGATATTAAGGAATCAGGAAGGCTTGTGTTTTGTTTTTTAAATGGGGTCTTTTTTAAAATTTTTCTTTTGAGTGTTTATTGTTATTTGGGTGAGAAGTTTACAGAGTAAATTCAATTTCCATACAGCAGCTTGCATACTTTGTCTCATGGCATTGACTGCAATTTCCCATAATGCAACAGCTCCCCTCCCACTTGGCTCCCCATAGTTACTTCTTCCCTGTGTCCTTCCCTCCCATGCACTCCTGCCCCCTGAGCTGTCTCCCTGTGCATACACAGCCCTTCTATTCTCCCATGATTGATCTCTCCAGGGAGTGTATCTACCTCAGGTAAATGTTCAGCTCATGTACTTGTCTTTTGTTTTGCTGGAAGCCACAGGAGTGGGTTCAATTTCCAGATCTGAAGGGGCAGCTAGGGGCCATAGTCTCAGTGGTTCCACCAAGCTCTATCAGACCAGTAAACCTGGTCCCTTTTTTTTTTTTTTAAATGATTTTGAGTTTTATTCCACATTGTTTTCCTACACTCTGTCTAGGATCTCCTACATAGATCCTCTTCCCAGTAATTGACAGTGGTAGCCGGGCACCATCTAGTTCTTCTGGTCTCGTATAGTTGTATAGGCTGAGGATTGCATGGTGTATCAGTCTCTTGGACTAATTGTTTCCATGTGTCTTTGGTTTTCTTCATTCTTCTTTGCTCTGGACAAGGAGAGACCCATCGTTGTATCTAGATGAGGAAAGCCTGTCTTAGAAGTGTTCCCCAGCCTATTTTACCAGGAGTCCTTTTCAGAGCAGCTTGCGCACTTCCTGCTGCCATCTGTGCTCTTCAGGTTAGGCCAGGCGATGCTGGATGAGGATGATCCCTGTTGGCTGAGTGCACTTGTGGCCCATGGACAGGCTCTGAGCGCTTGTCGGCTGGTGTTGCTGCACTCTGGGGCGGTGGAGGGGTGGAGGCTGACTCTAGCAGGCCCAGGTCAGATGATGTTGGTCTAGGCTTGGGAGTCTCTCTTGCATCAAAATGCTGCGCCTTGTGCACTGATGTGCGTGCCCTGGCCCAGCAGACCTGTGCTGATCTCCTTAGCCCCAGGTCTGCTGCTCCTCAGCCGCAGTGGCACCTTTCTGGTTCTGAAATTCACTCTTGCCCCTCTTCTTCGCCTAGAGTGCTGTCCCTTCTGCATGGCTGAGTCCAGGTCCCCAGTGGGGCCCTCTGTCCAATTTGGTTCCTGTCACTCTCCCTATGAGAGGTAGTTACACACCCCCTTTACTTCCTGTGCAACACAGGCTCCACGAGGGTGGGGGATGGGGGTGCAGCTTGCCCATTCCTGTCCCTGGCATCCAGCACTGTGCCTGGCACGTTCTTGCTCTCAGGCAGCAGCTGTGACATAATGAACATGGCAGTAAAATGACAGGCACTGGTGCTGGAGGGGCCAGGTGCCCAGAAGTCTTCATTCCTTCAGGGTCAGTTCAGCCCTGTTCTCGCAGAACTGATAACACATGCCCGTGACTCTGGTCACTGGTGGGTGGTTGGGCTACAGACATAACGGGAGCAGTCGGTGCTCACATTAACTATGATGGAATGAATGGCAGTGCTCACATTTAACTACGATGGAATGAATGCTTGCGAGTGCCTTCCACCTGAGAGCGGCATTTGGGACGTAAAGGAGGAAAAGTGTCTAAGGATGTGTTTTTCTAACAGCAACATCTGCGCAAGTGGATGGAAGTGGTGGTCATCACCCACAAAGGGGGCCAGAGGAGCGACGGAAACGTGAGTGGCTAATTTGTCTGGGGTGGGGCAGCCGGGCTCTGCATGCCAATACTGAGGTCACGTGGTTACAATTCGTGTAAACAGTTAACCGTCCTGTATTAGCCTGACGTTTTGTTTTCATTTCTCTTAATTGCTAAGCATTCCCTTTTGTGTTTCTTTAAAATCTCGTTTTTGCTTGACTTAATAGGACATTTCTGTTAAAGCTTTCCAAGAAGCTTGCAGTGTCCTTATTTCAATGTTACTTTGCTTCCCACAGTGTATTTTCTAGACTGTTCTAGACTGTAGCTGCTGGTTACATGGCGGTGCTTGCCTCAGCTAATGTTTCCATTGCTTTCCATCCCTGAGTGGCCAGTAAGCTCTTGGGTTTGCTCAGTACCACCTGGAATGCCTACTAAGGCCTTTCTTGGGCTTAGTGACGTGCGTGGGGGCGTGTAACAAAGCGTATGTACGTACCAGCACGTATGTTCTCTGGGTCTCAACTCCCCGCCCCCATTGTTGGCCCCAAGTTAAATACTAGCCCTTTTCAAACACAGTTTTGAGGGAAAGCCACTTTGGCTAAAACTTGCTAATTATCTGATGTTGGTCATGAAAGATGTCGTCTCTTAAAAGCGAATGCTTCTCCTGTTCTGATGACTGATATTTGTATACATTCGTGTTTTTAAAGTATTTTTAAGTTGATGCTGTCTTGCCCGTGGAGTTGTGTTTTCCTCAAGTCCTCCTGACACCTGATGGGTTTCCAGCCACACCCTGGTTGGGGCCCTGACAGCTGCTAGGTGTAACTAACATGGCTTTTTGCCCTCTTGTGCCTGTTTCTTGGATGCTGTGTCTCATTCGAACTCAATTTTTTTTGTTAAATTTGTATTTTTTTGGCTTTCCTCTTGGTTTTGATCATTCTGTGTCAAAATGTTTTATTTACATAAGTCACATTCCTGCTGCCTCTCAACAGTCATCTAAGCACAACTAAATCAGGATCTTAAACTATTTTAGGGGCAGTGGACTGCCCACACCTCTTTGAATGTTAGTCATTTGTCTGTGCTGAGAGTAATCAGGAAGCCTTGGTGGGTGACAGCAAAGTCTGTTAAAGCAGCACACCCCCTCGGGAGCAGGGACAAGTAAGTGCCTCTGTGCCTCTCTGCCCCGTCTCTGATTTGTTAGGTGTTTTTACTTTACATTTTACGTTTGTTTTTACAGTAAGCTGTTCATTCTCTGAAACACAGAGTCAACACTAGAATAAGCATCCAAACCCCTTGTGGGTAGATGAACGACTTCCATTGGATCAAAAAGATTCCCTCACCGATAACAGCAAATAATTGGACAGGTTTTTGGGAAGTGGGGTGGGGGCAGCCACGTAAGGGATGGAGTCACGTTGGTGTTGGGACTTCCCCAAGCTCCCGCAGAGGCATTTCCGCCCTTTGCATGAATATGTTCCCTGTGCAGCCAGGGAGCGGCCAGCCCCTGGAGGGAGGCCCTGGGGTCCCGTGGTGGAGTGGCCAGGGCTCCTTTGCCTAAAACCCAGGGCCAGGCCCCTCCCCTTATATTCCAGTCCTTTTCTGTGGTTGTGCAGAATTGAGAATGGGCTTTGGAAACTGCACTGTTCTTATTTTGTGAATCCCCAAACAACATTGCCTAATTGAAAACGAATGCTGGAAGACCCGTGAGACAGTTGACTCAAAAATAAACATCAAATGCCCCTTCTGAGCCTCTGCCCTGTCACTGTGTTTAGGAGGCATCCCTTTCTCACGTTGAGTTTTGGGGAGAGAGTGCAGGACCACATGCTGTACCAGTTCTGGTCCTTTGTCCTTTCTCCCCTTGCCCACCATCCCCAGAACTGCTTTTGAGAAGACTGGTTAGCTGCACGAGGTAACCCTACACCTGGTGGGTGGTGTCACAGTCTGTGTGGGCCTCAGAGATGCCCATGTGTGGGCTCAACCATCTGCACTCTTTCGACTTTAGAGAGAAAGTTAGTTTTTTTAGTTTGCGTTTTCAAATGTACTAGCACTTCACATAAAAGCTTGAATTACACTTGAAACAAGACTGTTTTAAAACATCCTGGCATGCAACAGCATCTTGCATGTCTCTTCCTGGATGAGAGCCCTGGAATCCCTGGTTTCACAGTTTTATTTCGGGAAGGACTGTACTCTCCATTGTAATAGACGCCCACTGTTAGAAAGGCTGTGCTTGACACTGGAGGGCAGAAGGTGTACTTCACGCCCCGAGCATCTGTTAATTAATGTCTGTTTTCTGATAACTGTCTCTGTACTGTCTTGTTTACCTGCTAATCCCTGTGTGTTGTGAGTAGATGGGACGTTTTTCTGTAAATCACGTAAATAGAAAAGCAGACGATTTTCCTCCCCGTCCTCAGGAGAGCGTTTCAGAGTGCGGGAGGTGCTCCTTGTCTCCATTCTGTCAGTTTGAGGTGAGAACAACCTGTTAAAAGTCAGATGATGGCTTGCAATGTGAACAACAGTTTACCATTTCGTTTTGTTTCATTTTCTTTTCCCACTTTGCCGTCGCCTTTTTTCATGCTGTGATTTTTGTTTTGGTTCAGCCTGCCGTGGAAGGGGTAGAGGTGAGAACGCGAGTGGAGGCCCAGGCGGGGGTGCCGTTGTATCTGGTTTTGCTGTGACCTGTTAGCTGTCCTGTGGTTCTGTCCCGGGCGGAGTGCCTTGTGCCTTTGAGTGCAGTGAACTGTATTGTCTGTGTGTGGCGGAGTTGTCTCAGTCCCATTGCTGTGAACTGTCCAGACGCCAAGCATGTATTGTAATCTTGGAAGTTTTAAGCAAGATTCTCGGGCTTTTTGTTTTCTATGTGTTAGATTTGCAGTCTCTTAATTCAGTTCGATTTCGTCAGCATAATGTTTGTGTGAACCCCTGTATACTGACACCCCTGGAGGGGAAGCTCCATTAGGAGTCTATTATATTTGCTGGAAACAGGGAGCAGTTATAGGTTATCTTTCACATGACTGACTCAGCAACTGCTCCCCACTGGCCCCCTGCAGCGCACGTGTGCATGTGCACACATGCACGCACACATAAGTAGAACCCCATGACTTTGGACTGTCAAGCCCCGAGTGCTGCCTCTGCTGTAAAGTGGGGATGATAACACCAGCTTTCGTCACTTACCTTCCAGTGGGGTTCTGAAGTTCAAGAGTGAAGTGACTTGATGACAGTGCTTTGAAAACTAAAACCATATTATGAAAGCACCACTATTTGATTGATAAGGGGCCCTGATGGCAAAGTGTTGAGTGTTGGGTTGCTAACCGAATGGTCGATGGTTTGAACCCACTCACTGACTCTTCAGGGGAAAGACCCGACGGTCTGCTCCTGTAAAAGTCACAGACGAGAAAATCCTGTGGGGCAGTTACACTCTGTCACACGGGGGCACCGTGAGTTGGGGTCCACTCGACGCACCCAAGAGCAGTGGCATTTGAATTGTAACAACTTGAGAGTAGAGCCTTCTCTGCCTGTGGAGTCGAACATTCTCAAGAAGAGAACGTTCTAGCAGTGGGATGGGCGAGACGTTAGACCCGTTTTTTTCTTCCTAACCCCTCCCACTGTTTTGCATTTTGACTTAAATTTTGGAAAGTATCTCAGGTGGTGCTGGGAATGTGGCCACTTGGCTAGCAGTTGTCATGTTATCATCCCCATTTTACCTCGTGGGAGTCGAGCCTGTCACATTCAGCATGGCATGGTGGTCCTTACTGTCCCTATGACCATGCAAACTCCTTGTCATTGCAGAATCAAGCTAGGGAACTGAAGGTGAGAATGGAACATTCCAGTGACTCTCAGTCAAAGCAGCCAGCCCCCAAGCAGTTAGCACATTGGAAAGTGCAGCCCTTGTAGTCCACACTTTTAGTGATTTACTCTAACAGTGTGGCGGCCTGATTTGTAGGCCTGGTTGACAAACACGTACTTTTTGAGGACTTTCTTGTGCTGGATTCTGAGGGCAGAAGCAGGCTCTGCCCTCAGAACTCAGTTTGTTACATGCCATCATGGCAAGAGTGGGAGTCCTCATGCTCACAGGCCACACAAGTGGTCCCCTCCTCAATCGGGACCAGCATAGATGGCCCAGAGAAGCAGGTCATTTCCACCATCTGCAGGTGGGCATGGAAACGAACTCAGGCCTGAGGTTAGGCACACACAGACCCCCCACACACACACAGACCCCCCCCACACACACACAGACCACCCCCCCCCCATAGTGGACGGTACAACTGAAGGCCCAGGGCAGTTAATCTCTTTAGGACGTGGGTACGACCCATGGTGGGCAAGTTGCGGCTTTTTACATGTTAACCCTTTGCTTCTGGTGGCTAGCCTTGCAAATGTAGTTAGACTGTAGTAGGGTCTGTGGTCCCGTCAATAGTGTTAGCTAGCAAGACTAATGGGCCTGTTTTCTAATTTCCAATTTTCTCTCTTAGGAAATGAAGATTTGTTCAGCAATTATAAACCTCTTTCACCTGATCCCAGCTGCACCTCAGACCCTGGTCAAACCTTTGTTGGAGGTTGTCATGAAGACAGAGCGGGCTATGTTGATTGAGGTAAGGCTCAGCGTTGGGACTGATTCTGACCCCTCCTCTGCCACGGCTTATGATATTTCCACTATGTTATACTTTAACTCAGTTAATCTAACAGTATAAAGATGTTAGATGTTACTGCTTACTTACAAGGTTGTTGGTGCAGTCCAGTCCCAAGGGGGACGTATCTTCTCTTGACGAGGCTGAGCAGACCGGTTACAGAAGGAAAGCCTGAAGCCCACGGGGGGATGGCACCCGACGTAGTTTCTCTTGTGTGCTCTAGGCTGGCAGTCCGTTCAGAGAGCCTCTGATCAAATTCCTGACCCGACACCCCTCCCAGACGGTGGAGCTGTTCATGATGGAAGCCACACTGAACGACCCCCAGTGGAGCAGAATGTTTATGGTATGAGCTAGGTTGGGTGGCCTTGCCGGTTTGGGTCAGCCACGTGCCCAACGTCTCTCTGATCTGTGTGCTGACATTGAGAATACTGAGTATCAGAAACACGATTGCCATTTACTTGTATATGTGTGCAGAGTTCAAGTCCGAGAGCTTCTCTTTGTAGGATTGGCTTGGGGGGGGCTGGTTAGAAATGTCTATACTTCCTGGGTTATGAGAATTCTATGGCTTGGTTACTATTTAGAAGGCACTTCTGAAAGTATGCTTACTATGGGTTTTTTTTTTTTTTTTTTTTAAATAAAATTTGTCTTAAAGTTTGGAGTCTGGGGTGGGGTGCTGCTAACCAAAAGATTGGTGATTTGAATCTATCCCTTGGAAGAAGGGAGCTCTGGTGGTGTAGTACCTAAGACATTTGACTGCTAACCAGAAGGCTGGGGGTTCAAACCTACCAGCCACTCCTTGGAAGGAAGACTGGGCTATCTACTTCTGTAGTGATACTGCCTTGGAAACCTAATGAGGGGTTGCTATGAGTTGGATCCGACTCAATGGCAGTAAGTTTTTTTTTTTGGTACCTTGGAAGAAAGGTGATCTCCTGAAAAATTGGCCACTGAAAACCCTGTGGGCCCCACAGTTCCACCCTGACACGCAGGGGGGCCCAGGATCAGAGCCAGTTTAGTGGCAGTGGGTTAGAGAAGGGAGAAACTTAAAAAGAACCTGAGTGTTTGTACCATCCAACTACCTTTGTGTTTTGAATTGTGATTTGGGTGAAACTTTGTCGGGCAAATTGATTTTCCAGTCAATGATCCGTACACTTTCTGTTTTGTGACATTCGCTGTAGTCTCCATATTGTAACAGCATTCTCCCCGCTTCCTCCCTGCACCCATCCTTTCCCTTCATCCTCCCTTCCCATCCCTTCCCTCCTTCCTAGCTCTGTCCCTGGGCAAATGCTGTCCTCTTGATCTCATGTGCTTGATTGTTGTATTAGCGCATTCCCTGCTGGTATTACTGTTTACCTTACAGGCCTGTCTGAGTTTGGCTGCCAGTTGAGTCACGGGGGTTAAGTTCCATTCCTAGCTTGAAGGATATCTAAGGGCCATAGTCTTAGGGGTTCCACCAGTCCTCAGACCAGAAAGCCTGGACTTTTCTTAAGATTTTGAGTTTTGTTCCACGTTTCCTCCACTCTATCCAGGACCCCTTAATGTGATCCCTTTCAGACAGTCGGCAGTGGTAGCCAGGCACCACCTAGTTCTTCTGGTGTCAGGGTTGTGGATGCTGGAATTCATGTGCTCTGTTACTCCCTTGGACTGTTTGTTTCCTGCATCATTGTCTTTACTCTTCTTTGCTTTGGATGGGGACAGACCAGTAGTTGCACCTTAGTTGGTCACTCACAACCTTTTAAGACCCTAGTCACTACTCACCAGAGTTGGATGTCGGACATTGTATTTATGTGGACTGTGTTATGCCAGCTGACCTTCGTGTCCCCTGAGACTGTGGTCTTGAGCCTCCATACCCAGCAATTCATTGCCTTAAGGTGTTTAGTTCTAAGATGCTCTCATAACTTTGTCCCCTGTGGATTTTCTGTGAATTTCCATTAGCATAAAACAGCTTTTATGCTTGTGTGTTTTGTTTTCAGAGTTTCCTAAAACACAAAGATGCCAGGCCTCTTCGCGATGTGCTTGCCGCCAACCCAAACAGGTTCATCACCCTGCTGCTGCCCGGTGGCACGCAGGCCGCAGTGCGCCCCGGCTCACCCAGCACCAGCACTATGCGCTTGGACCTTCAGTTCCAAGCCGTTAAGGTAATGCCTTGCCACCTTGGCCCCTGAACCTGAAATTTGACTGGACCCGGAAGGTCTCTGTCTGTGCCCTCACTCTCTCCTCTCTGGCAGATCATCAGTATTATAGTTAAGAATGATGACACCTGGCTGGCCAATCAGCATTCCTTGGTGAGCCAGTTGAGACGTGTGTGGGTTAGCGACGTCTTTCAAGAGAGGCACCGCAAGGAGAACATGGCCGCCACCAACTGGAAGGAGCCCAAGCTGCTGGCCTACTGCCTCCTGAACTACTGCAAGTGGGTGCCCTGCTGCCCTGTGCTAAGGAGCACGTCTGTCCAGTGAGCTGGGGTGGGCCTTTCGGCTCACTGGATGCGTGGGCTCATGTTTGTTGTAGACAATAGGCTGCAGCTTTGACCTAAGAGGCAAGTCAGTTGTGATAGTGGTGAAGTGTGCCCTGAGTTCACCTGTCTTCTCATCTGACCTTTCAGGAGGAATTATGGGGACATAGAGTTGCTGTTTCAGCTGCTCCGAGCCTTTACTGGTCGTTTTCTCTGCAACATGACATTCTTAAAGGAGTACATGGAAGAAGAGATTCCCAAGAATTACAGCATTGCTCAGAAACGAGCCCTGTTTTTTCGCTTTGTAGACTTCAGTGACCCCAACTTTGGAGATGAACTAAAAGCCAAGGTGGGTTGCACTGTTGGGCAGCAGAAGGTTCCACGTGTTTGGAGCAGTCATCTGGGGCACAGTTGACACTTGACAGCATCTCTGAACCTTAAATGATCAGTTGGCTGTCAGTGAGGAAAACCTTTTCCTCGAGAAACAAGGCAGACGCAGTGGTGAACTCAGCGAGGAACAGTCGTTGGGTGGTTTCCTTGTTTTTGGAAAACAACTGTTTGGAAGGGAGAAGAGTAAACTAGGCTGACGGTGCTTCTAATTTTCAGTCTCCTTTCACGTTGCTGTTTGAGTAGAAGTTGGAGTTTGCTGCTGGTTGCACCTTGATGGGACCTCACTCTGTGGGCCCACTTGGCCATCTCTGCAGCCTCCTTAAAGGCACTGACAGCATGGCTTTGTCTTCCAATCTTTGTCCTTTGTTTCTGTGTTTTGGTAGGTTCTGCAGCACATCTTGAATCCTGCTTTCTTGTATAGCTTTGAGAAAGGGGAAGGAGAGCAGCTCTTAGGACCCCCGAATCCCGAAGGAGACAGCCCTGAGAGCATCACCAGTGTGTTCATCACCAAGGTGGGCCCGCTGACCAGCCTGGCAGGTGCATAGGCATGCGCTGGGGGCTCGGTGGATCAGTTCACCTCGTGGCTTGCTTTCTCGTGAGCATATTCATGTGTAGCAGAGCCGTGTCACCTCACTGTGCTCACTGGCAGGTTTTAAAGGCAGCTTCGTTCCTGTCCCCAGGTTAATCAATTCTGGTCGGAGGCGCTGCCTGCTTTGGTCTGTCTCAGCGGGAGTACTGATCTCCAAGTTACAGTTGTCATGGGTCTCGTAGACAGTGACACGGATCATATCCAGAAGTGATTCCTTCCTTCCCCTTGCCCACAGGTGCTTGACCCGGAGAAGCAGGCAGACATGCTGGACTCGCTGCGTATTTACCTCCTGCAGTACGCCACACTGCTGGTGGAGCATGCGCCCCACCACATCCATGACAACAACAAGAACCGCAATAGTAAGCTGCGCCGACTGATGACCTTCGCGTGGCCCTGCCTGCTCTCCAAGGCCTGTGTGGACCCAGCCTGCAAGTACAGCGGGCATCTGCTCCTGGCTCACATCATCGCCAAGTTTGCCATCCACAAGAAGATCGTGCTGCAGGTATTCCACAAGCCTCCATCGTCTCTGCCCCCTCGCACCTCTGCTTCTCCCCTTTCCACCTCAAGCTCCCAGCCTGCACCCTGCTTCTACTTCTGCCATCCTGTGGAGGATGTTTGTGTCTCAGGCCTCAGCCAGCCGTGGCTAAAAGCAGCGTCTCGCCAACCTCTCACAGGGTGGACAGTGCTGAGCATGTCTGCTTGAAGCCTTTCTTAGGTTGAGGTTTTGAGGCAAGGCAGCCCTGGGTTTGAGTTTTGTTTCTCCCACTTAGAAGCTTTGTGACCCTGGATAGGTCAGTTGGCGTCACTTTGTGAAAACGAATGTAACTGTACCTGAGTGCTCAGCCTAAGGTCTGCTCCGTCCAGCACTTGACAGCCAGCAGCTCTGGTTGTCCTCTTCCATGAAGCTGCTCTTGACTGTTTTCCTCAGATCCCTCTCCCTGGTGGGCCTCTGTGATGTTAGAGTCCAGGCCCAGACGGAGCCAGTGACCTTCCCAACATCACCATTCCCCCAGGCCTGAGATGGACCTCCGTTCTCCAGGGTTGGCACTACTCCCCCAGAGTCCTCAGGCTGGGAACTTGGATGGCCTTCTGTACATCTCTCTAATTTTTTTTTTTTTTTTTAATTGTGATTTGGGTGAAGATTTACAGAGCAAATTCACTTTCCGTACAGCAGTTCACATATACTTTGTCTCATGACATTGACCACAGTTTACCACAATGCATCAGTTCCCCTCCTACTTCCTCCCCATAGTTACCTCTTCCCTGTGTCCATCCCTCCATACACTCCTGCCCCAAGCTATCTCCCTGTGCATAAGCAGCCCTTCTTTCTCCCATGATTATTGTTTTTTTTTTTTTTGTACATCTCTCTAATGTCCCCAATATCCAGGCATCCGCGAGGGTGCCTGCCCCCTCCTCCCCTGCACGGTCAGGCAAGTCTTTGGACCACTCTGGCCTTCCGTCTGCCCTCTGTCCTTCCTTCTAACTGCAGGCAGTCCCTCACTGCTAGACACACACTTCCCGAGAGCATGAGCCCTGCCCTAGCCCATCCACGGGCACTGAGTGGATGTTCAGTAGGCGCCGTAGTGAGTGCCTTTGCTGACCGCACACTGACTGAAACTTAATGGAGGGACAAGCCCCTCAGCTGCTTTCTGACAGAGATTCTTGAGGAATCTAAAGTGTTTTTCATGACTACCCCGCCTCGTTTCTAAGCGATTGCTTGCGCCTTGGTTTTGGTTGGTCGGTCTGGTTGTTGAAGCTTTCGTGCCCGTGGTGCTACCGGGGAATTCCTGTGCCGTTCCAGGTGTTCCATAGTCTTCTCAAGGCACACGCGATGGAAGCCCGTGCCATCGTCAGACAGGCCATGGCCATCCTGACCCCTGCGGTGCCGGCGAGGATGGAGGACGGGCACCAGATGCTAACCCACTGGACGAGGAAGATCATTGTGGAGGAAGGCCACACGGTGCCGCAGCTGGTGCACATCCTGCACCTCATAGTGCAGCATTTCAAGGTGCGCGGGCATGCTGCACCCCGGGATGTGCTCTCTGAGGGACGCAGCCTCCGAGGGGTTGCGCTGGCCACAGCAAGGCGGCCATTTGACGCCGTGTCCCAGGCCGTGCCCTCTGAGGGATGCATCAGTCACAACAAGGTGACCCTTGACACCACATCCCGGGATGCATCCTCTGAAGGGGCACTCTGGCCACAACAAGGCGACCCTTTGACACTGTGTCCTAGGCCATGCCCCCTGAGCAGTGCATCCTCAAAGGATGCGCCGGCCACAGCAAGGTGGCCCTTGGACACCGTATCCTAGGATGCATCCTCTGAGGGATTTGCCAGCCACAGCAAGGTGGCCCTTTGACGCCTCATCCCAGGATGTGTGCTCCAAGGGACCACAGCAAGGTGGGCCTTTGACGCTGCATCCCAGGACACATCCTCCGAGGGACGCATCAGCCACAACAAGGTGGCTCTTCGATGCCACACCCCAGGATGCACTCTCTGAGGGACGTGCCGGCTGCAAGGCGGCCCTTTGACGCCGTGTCCCAGAACATATCCACTGAGGGATTTGCTAGCCACAACAGGGCGGCCCTTTGACGCTGCACCCCAGGACGTGCCCTTGGAGGGGCACCCTGGCTACAAGGCGGCCCTTTGACTTCACGCCCTGGGACGTGCCCTCTGAGGGATGCGCTGGCCACAACTAGGCAGCCCTTTGACTTCACGCCCTGGGACGTGCCCTCTGAGGGATGCGCTGGCCACAACTAGGCAGCCTTTTGACTTCACGCCCTGGGACGTGCCCTCTGAGGGATGCGCTGGCCACAACTAGGCAGCCTTTTGACTTCACGCCCTGGGACGTGCCCTCTGAGGGATGCGCTGGCCACAACTAGGCAGCCCTTTGACTTCACGCCCTGGGACGTGCCCTCTGAGGGATGCGCTGGCCACAACTAGGCAGCCCTTTGACTTCACACCCTGGGACGTGCCCTCTGAACGTGGCCTTCCTCTCCCAGTAATCCTTCTGCTTTGTTGTTGAGCGTGGCTTTATCAGTATGGAACTTGCTGTAGCATGGAGACCGTGTCTGTCTATCTGAAACTGCAGTTCTGTTGTATGTACTAGGTTAACTCAGAGTTACAGACAGATTGTCACTCAGAAATGACAGGTAGTCAGAAATCCACAGTTGGGTACCTTGGCTTGAAAAGTCGTCTGTGGCTCCAGCCCTTTCTTCCGTGTAGCCGGGTCACCCGCTCAGTGAGGTTTATTCTCTGCCAGTATTTCTATACGTTAGGGGCAGAGGAGGAAGGGTTGATTGGAAGGGCAGTTCTCTCGCAGCTAGCTTTTGTTGAATAGGGAAATTTGCTTCTTGGTGGGTCTTTAAACATCTTTGAAGTCAAGTCTGAAGTTTGATGTGCTTAGACTCACTGCCCTAGAGAGAATCCCTTCAGCGTATTTTAAAGATGGTACTGAAAAAAAACAACCGAACTCACTGCCATCGAGTTGGTGGTACTAGAGGCTGGAACGCATTAGGACACTTCTGGGCCTCTGAGGGGGTGGGGTTAAACACACGGGCGCACCTACGTGTCCTTACAAGGGGGGAAGGTAATGAGAATTTGCTTGCTAAAATTATAACGTGGGATTCTTGGGCATGGTGGTGTGTGTGTGTGTGCACGCGCGTGTGTGTGTGCGTGTGCATGCGTGCGTGCATGTGGGGGCCGAGCGTGTTGTCCTGATGTGGCGCTGGCTTGTCCTGCCCATAGGTGTACTACCCAGTGCGGCATCACCTGGTACAGCATATGGTCAGTGCCATGCAGAGACTGGGCTTCACGCCTAGCGTCACCATTGAGCAGAGGAGGTTGGCGGTGGACCTGTCGGAAGTTGTTATCAAGTGGGAGCTGCAGAGGATTAAGGACCAGCAGGTAGGCTCACTGAGCCCTCGTGTTGCCCCGGTTGTATTCCTGAGGTGTTTGCTAGAAGTCAGTCAGTAAAGTCACTTGTGTGTGTGTGTGTTTAAAGCCGGATTCAGATACAGATCCGAATTCGAGTGGAGAAGGCGTCAACTCGGTCTCGTCATCCATTAAAAGAGGCCTGTCGGTGGATTCTGCCCAGGAAGTGAAGCGCTTCAGGACGGCCACGGGGGCCATAAGTGCAGTAAGATCACGCCTCCACGGCGGCGTGCTGTCCGCGTGGGTACTGTGCTTTCTGCAGTGGCTTGTCCTACTGGACGCGTGCTGACTGTGCCGAGCCTGTGTCTGAGGCAACCAGGAGAGGCTACACCCCACATGCCACGGGGCTCACTGTGGTGTGTCCCTGGTCACCAGGCACAGTTTTCTTTGTAACTCACTCCAAGTTCTGATGAACTGGTGAATTACTGGCATAAAGGCATCAAGAGAAACTGGGAAGTAAGAGGTGTGATGAGAACATGTGCCCGTGCTGTGAAGTGTGTCTCATTTTTTGTTGGGCGTGCAGCCACCATGAGGAACCTTGGGGATCCCTGTCTGCACCTTTGTTCGGGTGTTGGAGCCTGGGCTCTAACTCAGCTGGGGTCTTGGTTCCCTGGGATTGATGGGTACTGGCCTTGGGTGTTCCACTTCCACGGTAGGGTGCCTGGGATTGAACTCTCCCTTCCCCTCACTGTGCTGTCGTTGCGCATGACAGCTGCCTCCACCTGTGCTCCCTCCCTTTACTGTCTTGTACACCTGTGCTCAAGTTGGAACCCTGGACCAAACGTGCCTCTTCTCACACCTGGTCCACGGGTGGGTGCGGTCTGTTTCCTAATGGGATTGCTGAAACTACCTCCTGACTGTGCATCCACGAGTTGCCCGCTCCAGTGTGGCGTTCAGAGAGCAGAATCCCAGCTCACTTCCCTTCCCGAATTCAAGGTGGGAGGTTGGGGAGGGGTACGTAAGGCCCCTGTACTATTGCTGCAAGTTGTGAACCTGTAGTCATTTCAAGAAAATGGGACGCCTGGTCAGGGTGTCTTCCCCTCCTGTGGTGACGGCATGAGCCTAAGTGTGACCATGCCTCTAGAACTGCTGAATGCACTCCTCTCCTGAGCTGAGCCTGGCTCTCTGCCCTAGACACACAGCCCTTCCCTCGCTGCTGAGACACTCCAGGTCTCTGGCTCCTGTAGGATGTGCCCCTGTGCTAGTTCTCCTCCACCTGCAGCAGTGTTGTCTTGGCTCACAGCTGGCTGCTTCTCAGTCTTAAGAGCCTGCGTTAGTGCCCCCTTTGACCATGCCCCTTCCATCCTTGTTCACCAGCATTCTCCACACAGCGGCTTTGCTAGTTCTCTGCATTCCTGCTGGCTGTGTGCTTCCTGAGGGTGGAGGGCAGCAGTGTCTGTGCCCGTGAGCTGACTGCGGAAATGTCCTCTTCTAGCAGTCCTGGCTTCACGGTTCTTCCTGCCTAACTACAGCCCTTCTCTAGGTGTTTGGGAGGAGCCAGTCACTGCCTGGAGCCGACGCCCTTCTCGCCAAGCCCATTGACAAGCAACACACGGACACGGTGGTGAACTTCCTTATCCGAGTGGCCTGCCAGGTGCGGGATGGGGCCATCTTACGTTAGGGATGTCTCAGAGCGCTGCTAATGATGGGCTAGTCAGACAGAAATTGAAAAGCAGGGGTCCAAAATGAGCTTGTAATACCAATTGCCCTTGATTCCATGTCACATTAATGTTTCTAAAGCCTGCATGTCTTATAATACAGTGGTTATAAGATGCATCTTACAGAACAGTATCTTAGTGTTGGTGAAGTATGGTAGTTCTATAACCTTGGGCAAGCTGTTTAGCTTCCAAGATTTCCTTTCCTCATCCTTGAACTGGGAATGATGCATATAGAGCTGTTGGGAGGATCCAGCTTCCATAGGACAGGTCCAGGAGTTGGGAGCTTAAGTGCTTTGTGACTGGTAAGTTGTCTCTATCATTCACGTCAACGTATGTATCAGCATGGGACTACTGAGAGTCTGGTCCTGAAACTTTACATCTTCATGTTACTGGACACTGAAGTCCGTATCATTGAACAAACTGTACCTTACAGTATGATTCAGAGTTTCCAGTATTGCAGAGCACCTACTGATAGCTCCAGCCAGTAAATTCCTTCTGGTGGCCCCAGCGAGGCACCCTGCTAGCTGAGACGCCTGTCCCTTAATCAGGCAATGACACAGGTACTTGCCAAATCCTACTAACTGATGCCATGAACAAGAGGCTATCAAAGGCAATGGTCTGGTTAAGAGGGTCAGGATTCTGAAGCAGAGCCAGCCGGAGCTGAGTTGGGTCAGGGAGGAGGCGGCCATTAGATGGTGAGCAAGGGCAGAAGTGTGGAGCACAAGGACACGTGTTTAGCTGAGAGAACACTCAACTAGCATGAATGGAAGCCTTTGTGTGGCTTGTAGGTGAGAGAGAGAATGGCTTTAATTTTGCTGAGTTTCTAGGTGAATGACAACACCAACACGGCAGGCTCTCCTGGGGAGGTGCTCTCTCGCCGCTGTGTGACTCTTCTAAAGACAGCCCTGCGACCAGATATGTGGTCCAAGTCCGAGCTCAAACTCCAGTGGTTCGACAAGCTGCTGATGACCGTGGTAGGTGCACAGGTCTGGGAGGGCTCCTGCCAGACCGCCCCAGGTACCTCTTGGGCCTCACCGTCAGGTGTCCCATGTCTTAGGGGCCCTCCGTGGTGATGCCTCTTCCACTTGGCCTTCTGGCTGCTAGAAAGGGAGGGGCAGCAGTTACACTGAGCTTTGAAGCCCTGGCCCTTGCCTCCCACACCCAGATACACAGGAGTTTTATAACAAGCCATCAGTTCTCTTTCACTTTGTAGGCTTATTTCTTAAAAGTTGGCTGGGAACAAACACTGCTAGTTGAATTCTGTAGCAGCCTATAAAATAAGAGATTTTAAACAGATTTTAATGATGGACATAGCATTGGCTACCAAGCTCTGTGTTGTACTCATGGGGTAGGAAACATGGAAGGAGCCCAGATGCTGGTTGGTGGCGGTGGTGGATGATGTCACTGACCTGTGACCCTGTCGGTCCCTGGGGATGGCAGAAACTTGTCTCGCCTTCTCCATCTCACTGCCATCGCAGGCTCCGTTGGTTGTTCTGAATGGAATTTGAAAGCTTTCACTCAGGATTTATAAAACCTCTTGAAGGCATATGTTGATTTTCTACTGCAAAGGCTAACTTCGTCGTGTAAGTTACTTGAAAGTTGCACAGTACAGTCTCTGTGTTAGCATTAACAGGTCCCCTAAGTCTGTAGCACTTAGGTTTCTTTTTTTGATCTCTGGGAAAAGTGATTGCTTTCATTTTAAACCCAGTCATAGCTGAAAGCTTCACTGCAGTGACCAGCTTCTGCCGCTGCCTGTGCTGACATTGTCACAGAGCAGTGTGCTCTGCTGACACGGAAAGTCCAACATGTCCTGCACCCCTCGGGCCTTCATGTAGTGCACGTACAAGGTCCGTGGATGTACAAACGATGGAAACAAGTTTCACGTGAAACACGACTCAGCCTGACTGCAAACCATGCACTTTGCTTTCCGTTTTATTCAACTTTTAGTTTTCCTAAGTCAGCACCTATTACGTTGTCTTTTTAAGATAGCTCGAAAGTAGTTCTTTTTGGAAGGATACTTATACTTTAATGGAAAACAATAGGGGAGAAAAGCCAACTTCATTATATAATGTCACTTCTCCTTTTCACTCCAGATGTTAGTAACTTCCACAAACTTAGTAGTATCTTTAATGAGCTTTTTTTGTTTGTTTGTTTTTTTAGAGGCTTGACTAAATATTGAAAGCAAATTTATAAAAGCATTCTTATGAAATCCTATCGGATTAATCCAATTAAGTGTTTCATGCGGTGGGTGTACTTGTTTCTGTGAACATTGGTGGTGGTTCACTTGTTACTGGAGCCGCCAAGGGAAACGCTAACGCCGAGCAGGATAAAAAGGAAAGACTTTATTTATGCTAGTGCAGACTTGGTGGATTCGCATCCAGAGACTGAGCCCCAGACAAAGGCCACATGGGGCCTTTATGGGGTTCTTCTTCTGGGGCATTCAGGGTAAAAGAGTGATGGGTTACTTGCAAAAAGATGCCAGCTAGCAGTTTTTACAGAAGCAAAAAATGTGCTGGAGAGGAAGAGAGGAGGGGGCATATGGGCAGAGGAAGGAGGGAGGGGGAGCAGGGTCAAGGAATTTTCTGCTTTCTGTACATGGTTTTTCAAGCTGGCCTGAGCCAGATGTCTCTGGCCTCACAGCAAGTTGTTTTACTGCTCAACAGAACTTCCCTGCTTAGGTTAGGCACAGGTTATATAATTCATTGTTAATGCTTCTTAAATTCTCCTCTTTTGCCTCATACTTAGTTTCTAATTGTTGGAGATGTTGGTTTAAAGTGTTGATTTTGGCTTTTTCTTCTTTTTTGATGTGTGCATTTATTGCTATAAATTGGTCTCTGATCACTGCTTTTGCTGATTTATTAAGGCTTGCTTTATTGCCTAACATATGGTCTATCATGGAAAATGTTCCATGTGCACTGGAAAAGAATGTATATTGTGCTGTTGTTGGGTGAAGTGCTCTGTAGATGTCTACAAGGTCAAGTTGGTAGATTGTCTTGTTTAGCTCTTCTGCATCTTTGTTGAGTTTCTTTCCAGTTATTCTGTCTTTCGTTGACAGTGGTGTATTAAAGTCTCCCACTATGACTATGGAGTCATCTTTTTGACTTTCCAACTCTTTGAAAGTCTGATTTATGTATTTTGGGGCTCTTTCATGGGGTCCAGAGATATTTATTGTAGTTATATCTTCTTGTTCAGTTGGTCCTTTAATCAATATATAATGTCCTTTCTTGTCTCATATGGTGGCTTTGTCTTAAAATCAATTTGATCAGAAATTAATATTGTCACTCCTGCTCTTTTTTGGTTGCCATTTGCTTGATATATCTTTTTCCAACCTTTGATTTTTAGTCTATTTTTGTCTTTGTCTCTAAGGTGTGTCTCTTGTAGACAGCATATTGATGGGTTATGTTTTCTTATCCAGTCTACAACTCTCCGTCTCTTGAGCACTCTATTTAATCCATTAACATTCAGTATGAGTATCAAAAAGTATGAATTGGTTGCTGTCATTTTGCTACGTGTTTTTTCCTGGTGTTGCTGTTTTCTTTGCTGAGCTCATTATGTTTATGAATGGTGTTATCATTTCCTTTGTTGCCGTTGTTTTAGTATTTGCTAAATATTTGTGCTTGTCCTCTTTTTTTTTTTAATTGTGATGTGAAGGTCTGTCATTTTTCTTTGAGATTACCCTGTGATTTATAATTTTATATAATTATTAATGTATAATTTTCTCCCTGAGTTTAGAATAGTCCATTCTATTTTGCAACTCTTTTGACTACTTCACCAATTAGAAGTTCTGTAACTGTACTCATTTTTCCCTTTCTGGTTTCTAGTTGTCCTCATTTGCCAATTGATGTCTGCGGTTCCCTGTTTACAATCTTGTAAGCTCATTTTATTTTGGATCCTTCCATAGCCGTGTTGGTTTCTGGATTATGTCATCTTGTGTATTAGTGGTTGGTTGTTTGCTATTATTGGTTCTTTGTTCAAAGGTCTCCCTTTAGTGTCTCTTGTAAGATTGGTCTGGTTTTAACAAATTCCCTTAATTTCTACTTATCTGGAAATCTCATTTCACCATCATATTTGAGGGATAATTTTGCTGGGTATATAATTCTTGGTTGGAAACTTTTCTTTTTCAGGGTTTATATGTATCATCCCATTGCCTTCTTGCTTGCAGGGTTTCTGCTGAGAAATCAGAATTTATTCTTATTGGTTATCCTTTGTAAGTAACTTTTTGTTTTTCCCCTGCTGCTTTCAGGATTCTTTCTTTGTCTTTGGTTTTGATGAGTTTGATGATGATACATGTCTTGGTGATTTTCTTTTGGGGTCTATCCTGTTTGGGTTTGGGTTTGTTGGACTTCCTGAATGGATATATTCTAATCTTTCATATCAGGGAAATTCTCTTCCAACAAATCTTTGACAGTTTTCTCAGTGGTTTTATCTTTCTCTTCCTGTTCTGGAATTCCAATGACACATAGTTTATTCCTTTTGATGGTATCCCACATGATCCTTAGGCTTTCTCCATTTTGTTTTGATCTTTTTTCTGATTGATCCCTTTCTAAAGAAGTATTCAGATATTTGTCTTCAATCTCATTAATTCTGTCTTCCATTGCATTGATTCTACGTCTTTGCCCTTTCAATGTGTTATCTATTTCTGACAATTTAGTATTAATCTTCTGGATTTCTATCTGTAGATTTGAATCATTTCTAATTTTTCATTTGTTTTGTCATTTTATTCTTGTATTTTCTTCTGAAATTGTTCTAGGGTTTTGTCTGTGTTTTCCTTAATTTTGTCATTGTTTTCCTTGATCTGTCTCTAAATCCTTTGAAGATACCTAAATTGAATTCTTTTGAATTCCTTATCGAGGAGTTCCAGTGCTGCTGCTTCTCAGGGATGTTCTGGGTCTGTATCTGCTCTCTTGTTTCTGCCACTTTATCTTGCTTCTTTGTGGGTACTGTGATGGTCCGTTGTCTCTGAGACATTGTGATATTGTTGTATTTAGATCTCTGTTAACTGCTCGTGAAGAGCAGCTAAGGGTGATTCAGGCTCTTCTTGGTGGTTGTTTATCGTTGGCTAGTTGGTGGAGAAGGAAGTGGTGGTTCTCACTCAGTAACTGGAGCTGCAGGAGGTGTGGGTGTAGGTGTGGTTGTGTCATATGGGCAGGATTGCTATCTCCCACTCAGACAAAAATAACAATTGATATACAATCAAAAAAGTAAAAGCAAGTGGACAAAAAGCACATCGCATAAACACACAGGAACAGTAACCAAAAAAAGGGGGAAAAAAAAACCTGCATAGGGAGAGGGCAATAAGAGAAAAGAGGTAGAGTAGGAGAATAATGAACTAAAAAAAAAAAAAAGGGAAAAATGCAAAAAGAGAAAAGGGAACGGGTTTACCATGAGAAAGAAAGAAACAAACCAGGAACAGGGAAGAGAGAAAAAGCTGAAAACTAGAACCTGGGAAGGGAAGAATAAAGAATAATAATAAGGGGGATAATAATAATTTTAAAACAGACAAAAACAAACAAACCTAAAAAAAGAAAAAAAAAAATTCTGAGCTGGCCAGGGCACCCAGTCTCCGTCTGAGCACACTGACGGGGATGGAATTTCTGCCGTTTCAGAAGGTGAAGGTGCATGGGAGTGAGGGATGGCTGCACCTCCATTCACCAAGAGGGTGTAGGGTATAAGAGTAACAAGGGAAATATCTATCGCCACTTTCCAGTTGTTGGCATCTGGAACGTCCCTGTGGTTCCCAGCAAGTGGAGCCTATTCTTAAGTCCCTGGAATCTGGGAGAATGCTGTGGCTTTAAATATGCAAAATAGTCGAACCGCTTGTAAACATTCAAAATGGCTGTGCCTTCCGGACAGGCAGAAGTCCACAGCTCAGCCCCCACTTCCTCTTCACTTTCCCTTTTATTCTCCAGCCACCAGTGCAGTCTTCCGTGCAGCCCCTAGCTAGCAGGGCTGATTTATAGGTTAATTCTTAGGTCCTGACATCACTCGGCAATATCCAAACTGTCTGTGCCGTCAGGATTGCTGCCATACTCCAGCTCTGTATGACTCCTTTTTTGGTGTTTTCATGCATATTCTTCTACTAGTTGGAATTTAGTCCACTTCTGTGTCCTTCCCTTCAAAGTTCAGGGCTCCAGGATTATCTTCTGTATGTGTTAATTGGTTCCCCTTTTCTTTGTTGAAGAGGGTCTGTGCAGTCTCTCTGCCTATTCTGCCATCTTACTAAGACCTCAGTTTTTTACTTACTTTAAAACACTGACCAACACATGGTTTTACACTGGTCTTGGTTGGCACTTCCAGAGCATCTGTTTCATCTCTGTGCACCTCTGCTCTCTGTTCTAGGAGCAGCCGGGGCAGGTGAACTATGGGAATATCTGCACTGGGTTGGAAGTTCTGAGTTTCCTGCTGACGGTGCTCCAGTCTCCGGCGATCCTCAGCAGCTTCAAGCCCCTGCAGCGGGGAGTTGCCGCCTGCATGACGTGTGGAAACACCAAAGTTTTGCGAGCTGTCCACAGCCTTCTCTCACGCCTCATGAGTATCTTCCCTACAGAGCCAAGTACGTGACGTTCTCCGTCGGAGCCTTCCCTTCAGAGTGTGTTCTGGGCCTGGCACCGTGGCTGGGGCTGCTCATCCCATCACTGCACTGGGCCCCTTTGGATCGCACTGCTCTCATGTACTTCAGATTTTTAAAGAAGGTCTCCGAAGAGCTTGGTAGCGGTAGTGGTCACCATGTTGCGCCTTTTCTGCGTGGGAATGCCATGGTTCAATAGCTGAACATGGCTGTTGCTTTTAATTTTTTGTTGTGATCTGGGTGCGAATTTACAAAGCAGGTTCATTTTACGTGGAGCAGTTCATACACATTTTGTTTCATGGCACTGATTACAAGCCCCACAATGGGACAGCTCTTCTCCCACTTGTTCCCTGTGTCCCTCTTACCTGTGTATTCCTGTCTAGCCTTTCCTCTGTGCAAAGGCTGCCCTTCGGGTCTCTCATGGTTGACTGTTCTAAGGAGTGCATGTCCCTGGGGTCGATGTTCCACTTTTAGGCCTTTCTGTTGTTTGCCTCAAAGCTAACCCATGGGAACGAGTACAGGACTGAGGAGCCAAGGCCACAACAATACTGCTTTCTTAAGGTGTTAGAGGGGAGATTAAACAAAACAAAACAAAAAAAATCCTGCTACCATCGATTCTGACTTACAGCAACCCCCATTGGGTTACTGAGACTGTATATCTTAATGGAAGTAGGTTGCCCCATCTTCCTTCCTTAGAGCAGCTGGTGGGTTTGAACTACTGACCTTCTGGTTAGCAGCCAAATGCCTTATCCACTATGCCACCAGAGCTCTTTAAAGGGAGATTAGGTTGAATTGAACAGTTGACAGTATTGTATCAGAAGAGACCATTCTCTAGAGAAGGATATCATGCTTGGTAAAGTGGAGGGTCAGCGAAAGAGGGGAAGGCCCCTCAGTGAGATGAATTGACACAGTGGCTGCAATGAAGGGCTCTCAGGTATAGCAAGGATTGTGAGGCTGGCGCAGGACTGGGTGGTGTTCTGTTCTGTTTTACTTAGGGTTGCTGTGATTCAGAGCCCACTCAATGGCACCTAACCACAGCAACTTAGATCATGTCTTAGGCTTGTTGAGCTGACAGGCTGTCACACCATCTGTAAAATGCACAACTGCCCAGTGAGAATGACTTTCCACCTCGTGTGATTGCCGCGCACACACTTCTCCACAATCACACAGCAGTTATTAGTGTACAAAGTCTCACGTTCTTTCAGCACAAGTTGACTGAGCCTCACATTGTGACAGTCGCTGCAGATACCAGAACAACTGAAATTCTGTCCCCACCATGAAGAGAGTTTGCATCCCGGGGACGGGGACAGCGTGTGAGCCCAGACTGCACAGGCAGCTCTCGGCTTCCCTTTCAGGCACCTCCAGCGTGGCCTCCAAGTATGAGGAGCTGGAGTGCCTCTACGCGGCTGTTGGGAAGGTCATCTACGAAGGACTCACCAACTACGAGAAGGCCACCAATGCAAATCCATCACAGCTCTTTGGTGAGTGTGTCCGCCTGGTTTTCCTAGCAGCAGTGCCCTTTGACTCTGATCTGTTCTGGACCTGCTCCCTTTCTGGGACAGGCTCTGCTTATTAAGAGTGGCTTCTGAACCACCATGCTGTTCAGGGGGTCTGTGTATGAGACCTGGAGCACATAGGCCTCCTTTCCTTGCAGTCTTTGAGGTAAACTGAGGCCACTGACCCCTGCCTTGCCCTTGTCACTGGCCTTGCCCTCTTCTGGCCTCCAGGCTTCACTGTAGGATTTTGTTGTGAGGGGGACCACCCTTGGGTGCATGGATCCTACTGACCCAGTTTTGTAGAAAACACAGAGGCTTGTCATTGAAGCCTTGTGCAGCTGTGCAGAGCCTCCTGCCTTTCCCTGTGTGATCAGCGGTCAGTAAGACTCTTGAAGGATAACTCTCGTCCCCTCTGAGAGTGGCTGACCAGGTGCAAATTGGTCTCTCAGGTGACTCAGGGCAACTCGGTGAATTGGCCCCCAAAGACCCAGCAGACAGACATCTAGACACTTACTCTGTTTTTTGTCAGATTCCTGTCTTTGGTTAGGATTAAACCTTGGACTAGCGATTTCAAATGTGTTTTTCCCTCATTGTGTGTTGCCAGTATGAAGTGGAGGGCGGGGGGTGGGGGGTGAGATGGAAGTCATGGGCAGGCCCCCAGCCTGGTGGTAATCCCACGCAGCGTTTCAGTGTGTCTGTCCCTTCTCTGTGTATGTATGTACAGACACAGGGAGAGAGAGCTCTTTTCTGCAGGCTCTTGTGTCTGGATTCACAAATTGTCTACGTTAATTTTGAGGGTAAATCCTTTGCTCTCTGACGTTCAGGAGCCAGGCAAGCTCAGGTGAGTTTCTTGGTGTCCAGGCTGCTCTCTTCTGGAACCAGGTGGGTTTGGGGACTGAGGGAGTGCTTTTGTGACTTAGTTTTTAAGTGGGATGATACGGTAGGTCCCTGCTTTTGCAGCCTGGCTTCCATCACAGTTAGCTCTCCAGAGGATTCTCCTAGAAGCCTCCTTAGTGGGCTGACAGCAGGCCAAGGGCAGTGCAGGATGACGTGGGCTTAGAGAGGTCCTGCCATGGCCACACCACTTAGCATGTGTGCTTACTGACTCCTGCTTGGTGGAGGAGAGCGTGGTAGCCAGCTGTGGCCAGCGCACCTTCCTCAGCGTCGTCATCAAGAGTCAGGGTGTCTGACCTTGACAGTGCCACATGGACTAGTGCCCCACTGAGAAACCAGACTTTTTTTTTTTTTTTTTTTATTAGGATTTGGGTGAAGATTTACAGAGTAAATTCACTTTTCATACAGCAGTTCACATATACTTTGTCTCATGTCATTGACCAAAATTTACAATGCAGCAGCTCCCCTCCCACCTCCTCCCCATAGTTACCTCCTCCCAGTGTTCATCCCTTCATACTCTTCGAGAGGCCCATTGTCTGCCAACCCTGTATATGATCTTGGATACACTCTCCATTTAGACATACATAATTGTTTAGCTTGTTCACCCGTCTATCCGTCCCTATACCCATGTTTGCTTTCATTAACAACTCAGTATTGTATTTACAAAGGGGTTCATATTTGTTGTTTGTACTGCCCATGTAACTCTCTCTGTCTTTGAGAAACCAGACTTTTGACAAAGCAGGCCCACAGTTGTCCTCATCAGCTGAGAGCCCATCCCATGAACACAGACTTCTGTTTATGTGTGTGTGTCGGATGTCAGGGAGCCATGACTTCACCCAGAGAGTGTGTGTCAGGTGTCAAAGGGGTGTGACTTCACAGTGAGTGCTTGTGTTGGGTGTCGGGGCCATGACTTCACCCAGAGCATGTGTGTTGGGTGTTAAGGGGATGTGACTTCACACTGAGCGTGTTAGGTGTCAGGTGTGACTTCACACTAAGCATGTGTCAGGCATCGATGGGGGTGTGACTTCACACTGAGCATGTGTGTTGAGTGTTGAGAACGTGTGACATCACGCTGAGCATGTGTGTCAGGTGTTGTGGAGATGTACCTTCACGCTGAGTGTGTGTCAAATGTCAAGGGGGTATGACTTCACACTGAGTGTGTGTGTTGGGTGTTGGTGTATGACTTTACCCTGAGCATGTGTCAGGTGTCAAGGGGGTGTGACTTCACCCTGAGAGTGTGTCAGGTGTCGAGGGGATGTGACTTCACCCTCAGCATGTGTGTTGGGTGTCGAGGGGGTTTGACTTCACACTTGGTATGTGTCAGGTGTCAAGAGTGTGTGACTTCACACTGAGTGTTTGTGATTTCACTCTGAGCATGTGTGTCAAGTGTCAAGGCAGTATGACTTCACCCTCAGTGCATGTGTCAGGTGTGAAGATGCTGGAGAGGAAGATGCCCTCTGCTGCTCGTTGACTTGGGGTCCACATTGTGGTGATAGCTGGATTGGTTTTTGTTGGCCTCACATAGTTTTTCAGACTGAAGTGCAGGTGGTATCCTGAGCTGTTGGTAATGCTCAGGTTGGCTAGATTAGAGATGGGGTTTTTCTTTCTCCCAACCATGTCACAAAATGAGAAACTATCAGGGTAGTTTGCCATAATGGACAGTAGGATCAGAAATTAAATCAGTGCCGTTTGCACTGAAGCATGACCATTGGTTGTCCTGCGTGATGCTGCTACCACCATAGTCAAGGATAGGAGTGAAGTGTGTGCCACAGGATGGCATATGGTGTTAAAGTGTTAGCACCTGGGGTGAATCTATACTTCTGTCAGAGTGTAGTGTTGTAAAGAGCACGTCTTTGTTACTTTCTTTTAAATTTTTCTGTAAAGTGACCTATGATCCCTGCATTTTAGGGACACTTATGATCCTCAAGTCAGCCTGCAGCAACAACCCCAGCTACATCGACAGGCTCATCTCAGTCTTCATGCGCTCACTGCAGAAGATGGTCCGGGAACATCTCAACCCACAGGCAGCATCGGGAAGCACAGAGGCCACCTCAGGTGACAGCCTTGGTGTCCTGGGTTGTTGACACCAACCGTAGTCAGCACCCAGATGGTGCCGGTGATGTAATTGAATTCTGACGCTAATGGTGAGGTGTTCCCTGTCGTCCACATGCAGTTCATCACCCATCGCTCTGAACAGAGGGTCTTGAAAAACCAAACCAAGATGGGTAAAAATGAACTGTGTGTAAGGTCTGAGTGAAAGGTAGAGGAAGTTCTGAAATGGGTAGACATGTACAAGGAGCGTTTCATCCTAGGTAAGAGTTACCTGGTGATTAAAACAGATCACTTAGAGTGGCTGTTTCTGAAAAGCAGTTGAGTTACAGCTTCCAAATCCAAATGGCTCCAGCGATCGAGATGACGTGTTGGGGTGTGGGGTATGTGCAGGTGGTGGGGGTGGCCTGCTGCTAGAGGTGCCATAGCACTCAAGTGCCGTGAATGTGACTTTAGGACGGGGTGCAGGTCATTCTGGACCATCAGCACCGTTGCTTGGCCCCCCCCTTGGAGGGAAGGTCCCCCTCGGGGGGTGGTCTGTTGTAGGTGGCTGTGGAGTCAGCCCCCCTCATGGCAACGCCATGCTCAGCGGAACGAAACACTACCTGGTCTGTCCCATCCCCACAGTCGGGCACAGAGCAGAGTGTTGGGGTCTCCAGGGATTGCCCTGGCTGGTTGTCAGTAGGTCATCAGGCCTTTCTTTCTCGCGCTGTGAGGGCGGAAAGCTCCTGTGAACCAGTTGAGCATCACAGCAACTGACAGGCTGTGGGTGCACGTGAGGTGCTGGGTGGGCACAGACCTGGAGGATTCTACCACTGCCACCATCGCCCTACCCCAGATCTGCGTGCTGGGGAAAATGGGCAGAGGCCACCAGGCTGAGTAGGGCACAGTGGCTGTGTGTCTGAGCGTGTTTTTCGAGCCATGGGTTGTCCGTGTCCTCTTTGTCCGTGCACAGGAACAAGCGAGCTGGTGATGCTGAGCCTGGAGTTGGTGAAGACGCGGCTGGCCGTGATGAGTACAGAGATGCGGAAGAACTTCATCCAGGCCATCCTGACGTCCCTCATCGAAAAATCGCCAGACGCCAAAATCCTCCGCGCCGTGGTGAAGATTGTGGAGGAGTGGGTTAAAAACAACTCCCCGATGGCGGCCAATCAGGTGTGCTGTGGAGGGCGGTCTGGGCGCTGGCACGTGCCCGCCTGTGTATTTAGAAGGAGGTTCAAACAGCACCTTCTCTGCTGCTTTCTGAGAGCTCTTGAATTAAACTGGTTTTCACCCAAACCCACAGTCATGGGATCCTTGACTCAGATGGACTTTTCTCAGGGTGCTTTACAGAGACTGTAGTCAGCTGGTCACTGTCTTAGTGTGGTTTCCCTTGGGTTAAAATTTAAATCCATTTCTTCACTGTTCATGGTCGTGAAGGTGAACCAGGATGATGATGAGTGGCTATCACTTAACTGCGTAAGAGCCTTGCAGACTACTCATGTGTTTTCTGTTTTTTAATTGCTTTCTCTCCAAAGTCAGTGTGGCTGCTAGAAAAATTCTTGACATCTGTCTTGATTTTGAGTATCCAAAGATAACCAGACCCCACACTGTTGACTTTTCTGCTTAGAAACGACCTTTGTTTCCTACTTTGTGGAATTGTGGGAACTTAAAAAGTCGTGTAGTCAACAGCTGTGACAGTTTTGAACATGTCTTTTCTCAAATTGAAGAAACTGACTTTCTTTTAAAAACCAAATTCCTGCAGACCCCCACCCTCCGGGAGAAGTCCATTTTGCTTGTGAAAATGATGACCTACATAGAAAAGCGTTTTCCAGAAGACCTTGAATTAAATGCCCAGTTTTTAGACCTTGTCAACTATGTCTACAGGTAACTGTGGCGATTATCAAATAATGCATGTCGTTGTCCATAACATGTCCTGTCCAGTCTACACTGCATGACTGATGGTGATTCTGAGTTGTAAAGATAGAGCAAACCCCGCATTCTGGCACTGTCAGAGAATCTTTGGCTCAAACGCTATGTGAGCCAGGCGAGTGAGCCCTAGCCTGATTTGCAGCCCCCCTTGGCTTTGATGGTGGCATTTCAGAGGTTGGGGTCCTCCTGTCTCCACTTGCGACCAGAGGAGTCCACTGCCTTGGCCAGCTCCTCCAGCTTGGTGACCTTTCTCTGGCTGCAGGGACGAGACCCTATCTGGCAGTGAGCTCACCGCCAAGCTCGAGCCGGCCTTCCTCTCGGGGCTGCGCTGCGCCCAGCCGCTCATCAGGGCCAAGTTTTTCGAGGTGTTTGACAACTCTATGAAGCGTCGGGTGTATGAGCGACTACTCTACGTGACCTGTTCCCAGAACTGGGAGGCCATGGGGAACCACTTCTGGATCAAGCAGTGCATCGAGGTAGGAGGGCTTGCTTGCCGTCTGTCCCCAGGCTGTGGCGTGCCTCATGCAGTGAGCCAGGGCCGTGCTGAGGTGGGTCGGGAATCTCAGACACAATCCACTCTTGATCTCCAGTGGTTGCGAGAGGACACGAAGCTGTGTCTGCTTCTGAAGCTGTTTGATGGTTTTAAGGCCTTTATCAGAGAGCGGAATATCATTTCTTAGTTGATAGCCAAAGATTCTATTTTTCCTCCAACGTAAAAGTTGTCTTTAAAGAGTAAAGCAGATCCTGGCACTCCTTACTACTGCCCTTGGCATACAATCCAGCCTCAGGGTGCTGGTCTTGTAACCTTGGCTGCCAGAGCCCCTCCTGCAGTCCCATCTCGGCCCTCTCTCCCTGGTCTCAGCCATGCTGGGTCTTCGTTTCCTTGAACGTGCCACACCTTTCTGCCGTTAGGTCTTTGCCCTTCCTTGGACCTTCTTCTCGTTAGTTTCCTCTCATTCCCTTAGGCCTTAGGGTGGTAGTGACCTCTTTGGAAAGGCAAAGTGGGACACTCATTCTTGGCCAGTGCCCCATTCCTGGGCAGTATCAGCGTAGTGAGTGTCCGGAATGTTGACGATGACTCTTGGGGGCAGGGACACCATTTCTTGGATGTTGATGGTGGATCTCCAGGGTCTAGCACATGCCTGATGGGACTCCTAGTATAGCTGTGACAGAAAAATGAAAGCTTGGTTGAGGGGTGGTGTGAGAGTGGCTCGGCGGTGATCTTGTCATGAGTGTAGGGACAGCCCTGCAGCCTTAGGGCCAGTGGAGTGGTTCCACTAGTGGGTATAGGCAAGGCGTTAGGCCACAGGGGACTGGATGAGCCATGTCAAGGAGCTGGGCCCATTCTGGTGGCCACTTGATAGGTGGAGGGGTGGTGGGGCCTGATGTTTGGAAGAAGGTGGGTTTGAGCAGAGTGAGTCTCAGGTAGGAGATCCTGTCTAGGCAGGAGGGCTTGTTGTTGTTGTTAAGTGCCGTTGAGTCATTTCCAACTCATAGCGACCCCATGCACAGCAGAATGAAACATTGCCCGATCCCGTGCCAGCCCCATAATCCCTGCTGTAGTCGAGCCCATCATCGCAGCCACCGTGTCAATCCATCTAGTTGAAGGCCTCCTTCTCTTTCGTCGACCCTCCACCCTACCAAGCATGACATCCTTCTCCAGGGAGTGGTTCCTTCTTACAACATGACCAAAATAGGTGAGACGAAGTCTGGCCATTCTTGCTTCCAAGGAGCATTCTGGCTGCACTTCCTTCAGGACAGATCTGTTAGTTCTTTTAGTAGTCCATGGTACTTACAGCATTCTCCGCCAGCACCACAACTCAAACGTATCAACTCTTCTTTGGTTTTCCTTATTCATTGTCCAGCTCTCACATGCATACAAGGCGATTGGAAATATCATGGCTTGTGTCAGGTGCACCTTAGTCCTCAAGGAGTTATCCTTGCTCCTCAGCACTTGAAACAGTTCCTTCGCAGTTGACTTTACCAATGCTACACGTCGACACTCTTCATGAGGAGGGCTTGGCTGCCTTGATATCCAACAAGGAAATTGGCAGGGCTTGGTGGTGTGATGTGGAAGATAATAGAGAATGAGAAACGTTTGAGCTCAGGGTTTGTGTCCTCATCGCTGCAAGATGCCTCTAAGGGAACAGAGGAGGGGGAGCTGAGCACTGGGCTCCTCCGTCCAACTAGGGGGACATGGACTGGCCTGGGGGCTGGCCAGAGGGCAGCAGGCTGAGATGTATGATACTGACTGTCCCCACACCCCGTTGCCAGTCACGGGCTTTACCTCTGTCCTCTTCTCCACACCACCTTTCAGCTGCTTCTGGCCGTGTGTGAGAAGAGCACTCCCATCGGCACCAGTTGCCAAGGGGCCATGCTCCCGTCCATCACCAACGTCATCAACCTGGCTGACAGCCACGACCGTGCGGCCTTCGCCATGGTCACACACGTCAAGCAGGAGCCACGGGAGCGGGAGAACAGCGAGTCCAAGGAGGAGGTAACACTGTTGGCCCCTGGGCCCCTCCCTTCCCAGCAGAGGCCCAGCCCCCTGGGAGAACTTCCTGTCAGACATGAGTCAGGGATTAAAACCTGCCTCTACCCAATGGTGCTTACTGTGGGACCTAAGTCCAGGTTAAAGCTGATGTATTGCCATTCAGTTGGTGAGGGGACCACTCTCCATCAGCCAGTACTGCTCAGAACAGATGGTTTCCTGTTTGTGTAGCTTTTCTCTCCAAGTGGGGGCGGGGAGCACTGCCCCTGTTGCCGGAGCCGTGGCTCTGACTGGTTCCACCTGTGCACTGGGAGCTCGTGCACCTGGCCTGCTCCTGGCGTGGCCCGCTCCTGGCGTGGCCCGCTCCTGGCGTGGCCTGCTCCTGGCATGGACCGCAGGGAGCCCGTGCCACCTCTGGCACTGCTCAGCCACCTGTAGACCCAGCCAGGGCAGAGGCTCAGCTGTGGCCTTCGGTGCCTCGTTGAGGGCTAGCTGGCATGACCTCAGGAGTAGATTTTGGTTTAGACGGTTGTTGGCTTCTGGGAAATGGCCTCCGGAACAATGGGTTTTAGAAGACTCTCTTCTTTGGCAAGGGGTGGGGCCAGGGTGGGTGGGTGGGATGTCTCCTTTCCCCCAGGCAGGAGCTCCAGTCATTATGTGGGCGAGTTCCAGCTTTAGCTTCTCTGTTGCTGAACCCGGTCATTGGTGATGTACTCTTCTTTCTGCAGCTTCTCATTGGAACAGTTAGAGATGTGGGGAGGATTTTGTACACTTTCAAGAGAGCATACAGAGTGGTGGAGGGTGTAGGTTCATGAGAATCTCCTCTGTTGTAGGGAAATAGAAAATTACCTCTCAGTTAAGAACCGTTCTTACTGGCAGAGGAGTAGTTGGGTCATCAGATCGTTGACTGATGTCCCAGGAACTTTGGACAGAAATGAGGTTTATCCATTCCTCCTTGGGAAGGAAATGAAACATGCCAACAGCCATCTCTACCATGATCCTGAGCAAACAAGGCAGCTATGTTGCATTTTGTAAACCACGAGTGGTGGTTGGTCTAGGAACTACACAAGCCCTCTGGAATAAGCATGTCTAACAATTTTATTTCTGCTATTTAAAGTTAACAGTTTGTTTTTTATAACCCAAACCTGAAAGCAAAATAATGACATACCATACTGTCATTCAAAGAGAGCAGAAGGACAGTTGTAACTCACCTGGTTTTTGTTTAGAATTCAGCAAGGTTATTGAAGTAATTATGAACTTTCAGGAGAATAACAAAACTTTTACTTGCCAAAAATAGAACGAGAAGTATCGAGGGGCTGTGTTTGCTGGATCTGCTTTAGCTGTCTGCCTGCTTTGGTCTTATTTTTCAGGACGTAGAGATAGATATTGAACTAGCTCCTGGTGATCAGACTAGCACACCCAAAACCAAGGAGCTTTCGGAGAAGGACATTGGAAACCAGCTGCACATGCTAACCAACAGGCATGACAAATTCCTCGACACTCTTCGGGAAGTGAAGGTCTGTATGCGAGTGTGGCTAATGCCTACCCCCACCCTCTTTGAGGGCTCTGAATCCTGAGTCAGGAAGATTCCAGAGCAGTGTGAATTTTCCCAAGTCACACTTACTGTCATTCTTATCTCAGTCGAAACGCCAAGGTAGACATTTTATTTATATAGATTTTAGAAAGTTGAGTGTCTTGTGGGAGAAAAGTAAGGAAAAGAGGGTAATTTCTCCTCACTTGCCTCTTCACAACACTTTCTGTAAACATAGAGGCTGTGGCAGTGTGGTGTCAAGTGCAGTGAAAGGAGAAAATGGGGACAGCTCCACGTGGCGGATCAGGTCTTGCTGGGATATACGGGGATCTCTGAACCATCTGTGTGAGATCTGGGCAGACACAAACTCTGTGGCTTCCACAAGCCTCAGTTCAGTCATCGGCTCGGTGCTTTGTCGACGATGATCGTGAAAGAATTTGTTAAGGCTCCATGTGCCATGTCAGATGGGAAGAGTTACGAGGACATAGTGATGCTTCTGTTCAGAGCATAAGAAAAATCAACAAGCTGCTTACTACAAATACTTACTGCATTTAAACTTGTTTGGTGACCCATCCTGAGCTTCAGCTGTAAGTCACTTTCTGACTTTGCATCTGAGTGACATGGTGTGGTCTTGGATAAGTGTCTGGCACGTGGTCTTTTCCCTGTGTGTGGATGTTCTCTTTGTGTTCTGATGGTTGCCTTTCCACCTGTCCGGACACCACCTAGCTCTGCTGGCCTCAGGGTAGATTAAGCTGTGGTTCTTGCACGTTCTTAGCCTCAAGAGACTTGTTTCTTCTTTGGTTTCTTACTCGTTTGTTCCTGATGAGCAGACACCAACAGGTGCTATCTTGGGTGGCCATGCACAGGCGTTTCAGACCCTGGATGCTGCTCACTTCACTGGGATCAGAACACGAGCTTTGTGAACTATAATATGCTAATCGCCTGAGCTGTCCTGTGAGACTGAAGTCCTAAGACTTCAAACCTAGAAAACCAATCTGGCAAGGTGTTTGGTGGCATTTGAGGAGTACCTGTAGTTGTGTCTTTTGTCAGTGTACGTGCCTGCACACTCATGTGTATACTAACACAAACATAGGTACTTCTGTGTGTGCACACATGTGTAGATACCCATACCTACCTGTGTGCCTCTGTGCCAGTCCACATACACATGTGACCATATACTTTTTGTCTCTGTTGAGTTATTGCCAGGTTCCATATCACATTCTTTGGTACAAGCAATCTTTGCTTTGGAGCTCTTCTAAGTAACAGCATTTACTTTTGGTGCCACTTTTCCCATCACCAAACATAACAGGTATCTAAAGTCTGGAGCGTGGTTCTGGTGGCATAATGCCTAAGGCATTTGACTGCTAACCAGAAGGCTGGCAGTTCAAACATGCCAGCCACTCCTTGGAAGGAAGATTGGGCAATCTATTTCCATAGTGATAATGCCTCAGAAACCCAAGGAGGGGTTGCTGTGAGTCGAATCCAACTTGACTTCAACATGGTTAGTTTGGTTTTGTTTACCTCTGCCAGGTAACTATTAATAAGCACTGATCTCTTTATTTAGTTTTCTCATAAAAGAGGCATCATACCATTTTTGTCCTTACATAATACTCCATTATTTGTACGCACCACGTTTTGCTTATCTGTTCAGCCATTAATGGAATATTACACAACCATAAAGAACAGTGATGAGTCTGCAAAACGTAAAATGGATGGATCTGGAGGACTTATATTCAGTGGACTCTGCCCACACCATAACGCAAAGGCATCAGTTCTTCTTTGGTCTTCCTCATCACTGTCCAACTTTCGCATTCATAGGAGGCGATTGAAAATGCTGTGACTTGGGTCAGGAGCGCCTTAGTCCTCAAGGTGACAGCTTTGGTTTTTAACCCTTTAAGAGGTCTTTTGCCCGAGGCAATACATTGTTTGATTTCTTGACTGCTGTTTCCCATGGATGTTGATTGTGAATTCAAATAACAGTGAAATCCCTGACAATTTCAGTATTTTGTCATTTGTCATGATGCTGTTAATTGGTCCAGTTGTGAGGGTCTCTGTTTTTTTATGTTGAGGTGTACTCCATACTGAAGGCTATAGTCTTTGTTCTCCATCAGGAAGTGCTTCTGGTGGGTCACAGGGTAATTCTGTTTCTAGGTTTTTGAGGATATGCTGTACCGTTTTCCATAGTGCTTGTCCCATTTTAGAGTAGTCCCTCAGCAGTGGATAAGGGTTCTAGTCTCCCCATATCCTTGCCAACATTTGTCGTACTCTGTTTTTTTTTTTCTTTTTCTGCCAGTGCTATTTTTAGCCAGGGTGAAGTGTTATCTCATTGTAGTTTTGATTTGCATCTTACGGCTAATGAGGAACTCGGGTGGTGTGGTGGCCAAAGGGTTCAGCTGCTATGCAAAAAGTTTGGTGGTTTGGACCCCCCAGCTGCTCTATGGGAGAAAGATGAGGCAGTCTGCATCTGTAACAGTTTATAGCCTTGGCAACTATGGGGTAGTTCTGCTCTGTCCTTACAGGGTCACTATGAATCAGAATTGACTCGGGGACAGTGGGCTTGATTGGGTTTCATAGCTAATGATAGTGAGTGTCTGTAAATGTGCTTGGAACTTTTTGTCCATATCCTTTGCCCATTTTATAATTGGGTTGTTGGTCTTTTTGTTGTTGAGATGTTTGTTTCCTATAAATGTTAGAGATTAGACCCTTACTGGGTATGTTGTTTCTAAAGATTTTTCCCTACTCTGTAGTTACTGATTTCTGTCTTTTGATGAGCAGAACTTTTTAGGTTTTGTGAGGTCCTATTTATCTAATTTGTCTTTGCATTTGTGATGTTAGTTATCCTGTTCTTAAAAAAGATTTGGTTCTATAGTTTTAGGTTTAACATTCAGGTCTTTGATCCATTTTGAGTCAGTTTTTTTATATGGTGTGAGCTCTGGGTCCTGTTTCACTTTTCTGCAGGTAGGTATTCAATTTTGCCAGCACCGTTTCTTTTTTTCTTTTTAATTTTTTATTGTGATTTGGGTGAAAGTTTACAGAGCAAATTAAGTTTCCATACAGCAATTCACATACACTTTGTCTCATGTCATTGACTAAATTTCCCACAATGCAACAGCTCCCCTCCCACTTCCTCCCCGTGGTTACCTCTTCCCTGTGTCCTTCCCTCCTAATGGACTCCTGTCCCCGAAACTGTCTCCCTGTGCATACACAGCCCTTCTATTCTCCCATGATTGATCTCTCCAAGGAGTGTATCTACCTAATGTAAATGTTCAGCTCATATGCCTGTCTTTTGTTTGGCTGGAAGCCACAGGAGTGGGTTCAGTTCCTGACCTGAAGGGCATAGTCTCAGGGATTCCATCAGGTTCTATCAGATCAGCAAACGTGGTCCTTTTTTGAGTTTTGTTCCACATTGTTCTCCCACCCTATCCAGGAGCTCCTGCACTGACTCTGTCTGAGTGGTTGACAGTAGTGGGCGCGCACCACCTGGTTCTTCTGGTCTCAGTTGTATAGGCTGAGGATCCCATGGTGTACTAGTCTCTTGGACTGATTGTTTCCATGTGTCTTTGGTTTTCTTCATTCTTTGCTGTGGACAAGGAGAGACCCATCCTTGCATCTAGATGGCCACTTATAAGCTTTTAAGATCCCAGTTGCTACTCACCAAAGTAGGATGTGGAAAAATGTTTTGGGTAGTATGTTATGCCAGTTGAGCTTGATGTCCCTTGGGACTATGGTCCTGAGCTCACAGGTCCAACTACTTGCTCCCTCTGTGTAGTTGGGTGTGGCCAAGAAGTGACTACAACCTTGCCCCTTGTCATCTCTACTGTATACCTGGGAATTCTTACAGAATAAACCAATACACTTGTAGAAACATTGTCTGCCAACCCTATACATGGTCTTGAACATACTCCCCCTGTGTACCCACTGCCATCAAGTTGGATCCGACTCATAGCAATCCCTCCTTGGGTTCCCAAGGCAGTATCACTACAGAAGTAGATTGCCCAACCTTCTTTCTGAGGAGTGACTGGTGGGTTTGAACTGCCAGGCTTGTGGTTAGTAGTCAGATGCCTTAGACACTATGCCAAATAATTCAGCCTGTCCACCCATTTATCCACCTGTATATCAATGTTTACCTTAACTAACAGTGTAGTACTGTATGCACAAAAGGGTTCATCTTTGTTGTCTGTACCTCCCATGCACTCTCTATGTCTGTCTTTTCCTCAAGGCTACCATGTTGATCTCTCACATTTAGTACATTGCCCTTCCCTTCACCCAAATCAATACTTGTCTCTACCTATCTAACAGTGTTCCTTCCCCTCTCCTCCCACCCCTGGTAGCAAACGAAGAAAATTTCCTTCCATATATAAACCTTCCATTGATTTTTTACAGTACCAGACTAATACAATATTTGTCCTTTTGTGATTGACTTATTTCACTCAACATAGTATTCTCCAAGTTCATCCACGTTATACAGTGTTTTGTTAATTTTATGTTATTCTTTAGAGTTCCACAGTATTCCATTATGTGTATCTACCATAGTTTGGTTATCTGTTCCTCTGTTGATGGCCAACTAAATTGTTTCTATCTTTTGGCTATTGTAGATAGTGTTGCGATGAACATAGGTGTGCATGTATCTGTTCTTGTCCTGGCTCACTTCTTTAGGATATATACCTAGTAATAAAATTTCTGGGTCGAATGGTGTTTCTAACTCCGGCTTTTTAAGGAATCACCATACCGTTTTCCACAGTGATTGTATCATTTTACAGTCCCACCAGCAGTGTATGAGAGTCCCAATCTCTCCACATCCTCGCCAACATTTGTTATTTTATGTCTTATTGAACTTTGCTACTAGTGCTGGGGCAAGATGGTATCTCATTGTTTTGATTTGCATCTCTCTAATGGCTAATGGGAAGCTCTGGTAGCGTAGTGCCTAAGGCACTTGACTGCTAACCATAAGGCTGGTGGTTCAAACCCACCAGCCACTCCTTGGAAGGATGATGGGGCAATCTACTTCCATAATGATACTGCCTCAGAAACCCAAGGAGGGGTCGCTATGAGTCGGGTCCAACTTGACGGCACATAACAACAACAACACAATGGCTAATGATCATGAGCATTTCTTCATATGTTTGTTGGCCACCTGAATATCCTCTCTGGTGAAGTGTCTATTCATGTTGTCTGCCTATTTTTTAATTGGATTATTTGTCTTCTTGGTGTTGAAGTGTTGGAATTTTCTATAAATTCTAGAGGTAAGTACCTCTAGAGATACGTCATTGCTGAATATTTTTTCCCAGTCTGTAGGTTCTCTCTTTACTCTTGGAGAAGTCTTTGGACGCACATAGAAATTTAGTTTTTAGAACATCCCTTTCATCTGGTTCCTCTGTGCATTTTGGGTTATGCCTGATAGTCTATTTATGCCATATATTAGGGCCCGTAGGAGCTCTGGTGGCATAGTGCCTAAGGCACTTGACTGCTAACCAGAAGGCTTGTGGTTCAAACCCACCAGCCACTCCTCGGAAGGACAATTGGGCAGTCTACTTCTGTAGTGATACTGCCTTGGAAACCCAAGGAGGGGTTGCTATGAGTCGGATTCAACTTGACAGCAGTGAGTTTTTGAGTATTAACCAAAAAACCAGACACACTGCCGTCGAGTTGGACCTGACTTATAGCAACCCCTACTTGGGTTTCTGAGGCAGTATTACTACTGAAGTAGGTGGCCCAACCTTCCTTCTGAGGAGTGGGTTTGAACTGCCAACCTTAGCAGTGAGATGCCTTAGGCACTATGCCACCAGAGGTCCCCCTAAGCAGACAGTCTCTTCCCCATTTAATAGATTTTGGCACTTTGTCAAAGATTAGCTACCAGCACCATTTCTTGAAGACCCGTTTCTCTTCTGTTGAGTGGACTTAGACCCTCTTGTCAAAAACCACTTGTCCATCAGTGGATGGATTGATTTCTAGATTCTTGATTTTGTTCACTGCTATGTCTGTTGTTGAACCAGTACCAGGCTGCTGTGACAATGGTGGCTGTAGAATGTGTAGATATTGGGAGTGGGAGGTCTCCTGCTTGATTCTTCTTCCTCAGTATTATTCTTTGGCTGTTTGGGGTTCTTTTCCTTTGTTCTCCATGCAAAACTTGGGCATTCGCTTTTCCGTCTTAGTAAAGAATGTTGTTGGGGCCTGTATTGGCGTGATGTTGCACTCTGTCTACAGACTGATGCAGGTCATGTCGTATTGATGTGTTCATTGTATTAAGTGTTCCTGTCTACAGCTTGGAGCGTCCTTCCACTTACAGAGTCAGGAGTCATTTTCCCTGAAATACTTGTATCCTTGGTGGTTGGCATTTTATTAGCAACAGGGATATAAGAGCCACTCCTCATCTTTGGTCTGCTGTGGGGAGAGCGAAAGCATTATTATGATGCACATATCACCTGACACCCTGTGTCCATGTCAGAGGGGGTCCTTTTGGAGCTGGCAAGGGCTTGATGCCCTGTGGGGGTGTGGACCAGACTGGCCGCAAGCAGGCTAATGACCAGGCAGTCCGTTCAACAAAGCTGTGGAGAAAATGAAGCATGTCTGCGGATGTAATGTGATCCAGTGTGGTCCCTGGGCCATGGGTTCCAGTGGGGGCTCCTCCCCATCAGGGACCCTCTTCATGCTCCTCTGCTGTCAGCCGCGAACCCTCAGCTGTGCTGTCCTCAGTTGCTCTCCTGTGCATGAATGTTCCTGTTTGTCCTGCATATTTTCTGTCACCTGTTTGGGACATTAGTATCCCTTTTACGTGTATTTGCTGTGTTGGTGGTGTTTTGATACTTGTCAGACGTGGCAGAATTGATGATGTTAGGAAATGGAAGGACAAGTTTAGGCACCCGACTGCTCAGACACCAAGCGGGTCTGGCATCAGAACCCATGTGCTTCGGCTCTCATAGGATATTTTCTCAGGTCTTGAAGATGGAGGAACACACGTTAGAATATGAGGTGGGGTGTCCTCGGGGCCTGGGTGGGCGGGCAGGATGGGTGGGAAGTCCCGTCTGTGCCCACAGCCACCTAAGCAGTTGTCCTTGTGTGTAGACTGGAGCCCTGCTCAGTGCCTTTGTCCAGCTGTGCCACATTTCCACAACGTTGGCGGAGAAGACCTGGGTCCAGCTCTTTCCTAGACTCTGGAAAATTCTTTCTGACAGACAGCAGCATGTAAGTGTGTGTTTAAAACCCAGCTTTGTGGACGCCACTGTTTCCACGGTAGCTAAGAGGCAGAAACAACCTAGATTTCTGTTGACAGAGGAACACATAAAGAAAACAGTGGAGTGTTACTCAGCCATAAGGAAATGTGAGGTCCCATCCATGCTACCACATGGATGAACCTGGGAAACATTGTGCTGAGTGAAATGAGTCAGTCACCACAGGACATGTACTGAGACAGGTGAATGTCTAAGTCCAGAGTTAATTAATGGGGACCAGGGTGAGAGGGAGGGAAGAAAGAGGAGCCGCTGCTTAGCGGGCATCGAGTTTCTGTTAATGATGGTGGAATAATTAGAAAAAGGGTAATGGTGACAGTTGAACATTATTGTAAACATGACTAGTGTTACTTAATTGTACAGGTAAAACTTGTTTAGTATAAGTTTTATCATATATATTTTTACCACAGTTAAAAAAAATCCTCCTTTGAAAAAAGGTAGTTTAAGCATTTGATAAGCATTTATAAAACCACCTTGATGACATTTCAAAGGAAGAGGAAACTGTTAAACAGAGTGACTTACCAGAACACCTCGTAGTACTGGGGGCTGGGGGTGGAGAAATGGTTTGTTGAGTTTCGAACGGAAGCTGAACTGCCGCCCCTTGTCCAGGCGCTGGCCGGCGAGATCAGCCCCTTTCTGTGCAGTGGCAGTCACCAAGTGCAGCGTGACTGCCAGCCCAGTGCCCTGAACTGCTTTGTGGAGGCCATGTCCCAGTGCGTGCCCCCGATCCCCATCAGGCCCTGTGTGTTGAAGTACTTGGGGAAGACACATAACCTGTGGTTCCGCTCCACGTTGATGCTGGAGCACCAGGCCTTCGAGAAAGGGCTGAGTCTGCAGATCAAGCCCAAGCAGACGACCGAGTTCTATGAGCAGGAGAGCATCACTCCACCTCAGCAGGTGAGGGCCTCGGCTTGATTGTCACTGGCGCCTCCTTTCAGATGACGTCACGGTGTTGAGGGACACCTCCCACATGACGTTAAATTAAAGGCGCGGACACTGCTTTACTGAAAACAGTGCTTGTCGTGCGCACTCCAAAACTGGGCTCGCTGTGTCTCCAGGAGATCCTGGACTCGCTGGCGGAGCTCTACTCGCTGTTGCAAGAGGAGGACATGTGGGCCGGCCTGTGGCAGAAGCGCTGCAAGTACTCGGAGACCGCGACGGCCATCGCTTACGAGCAGCATGGCTTCTTTGAGCAGGTGCCGCCACTGGGTGAGGGGCTGGGGGCTGGGGGACGGTCACGCAGTGGGCTTGGCTCAGGGCCACACTGGAAACGGGCCTCTCTGCTGTCCTAGATAAAGCCCTTACTCTGCAGGTGAAGGCCTCTGATTCACATCTCGGTACGAGAATCTTGCACACTTAAGGAGCGTTTGTAATGCTCAGAGCAGACCTTCCGTTCAGCTGCTAACACAGTGCTGCGTGTCTGCAGTCACAGAGCCTGTGGGGCTGCGTTGAGGAGGGCTGTTGAGTGTCGACAGTGTCATTTTCATGTCGGTCCTGTCTGTGGGTGACCACTCTCCCAGCCTGGGTGGGACATAGCCGCAGGCCCCAGGAGCACAGTCGGGGCCAGGTGGCTCCTGCCCCGTCAGACGGCTGTGGTGTTCTCCCTCCCTCTGGTGGTGGGGGCAGTCACCCCACCTCTCTTCCTTCCCCCGTTTTCTGTCCTATGGTGGAGAATCTTAGTCTGAGCACACTCCTGGGTCTGTCACCCGCCAGCCCTGGCTCATATAGCAGTGGTGATGGGGAAGGTGGTTTCTCATCACCCAGTGGATTGAAAGCACAGTTGGTCTTTCAGGCACAAGAGTCCTACGAAAAGGCCATGGATAAGGCCAAAAAGGAGCATGAGCGGAGCAACGCGTCCCCTGCCATCTTCCCGGAGTACCAGCTGTGGGAGGACCACTGGATCCGGTGAGCCGGGCCCCCAGCTAGTGCAGGGAAGCAGTGACAGGCCATGGCTGTCGTCAGAGATGTTTGTGAGAGGAGGTTCAGCTGCTTTCATTCACGGCATCTTGAAGGGAGGCACTTGTCAGAAGGGAGCTTCTGAAATCTTGGGAAATGGGAAGCATTGGTTACTGGTTTGGTGCTGTGGGCTCAGAGATGGGTCGGGTTACTGGTTCGTTGTTGGGGGTCAGGGCCAGGTTGGGTTGTTGGCTCAGTGGTTTGGGCTCAAGAGCACCAGGAGGTTACTGGTTTGGTGCTTTGGGCTTGGGGCTGGGTTGGGTCACTGGCTCGGTGATTTTGGACTCAGGGCCGGGTTGTGTTCTGGTTCAGCGCTTTGGGCTCAGAGCTGGGTCAGGTTATTGGTTTGGTGCTGTGAGCTCAGGGCACAGTGAGGTTACTGGTTCAGTGCTTTGGGCTCGGGGATGGGTTGGGTTATTGGCTCAGTGATTTGGAATCAGAGCCAGTTTGGGTTACTTGTTTGGTGTTTTGGGCTCAGAGCTGTGTCAGGGTATTGGTTTGGTGATTTGGGCTTGGGGCACAGTCAGGCGGGCTCAGGGCCAGGTCAGGACCATGCTTGTTGTCAGCGTGCATTTCCTTTCAGAGGTGGGTGGTTTACCTGTGTGGAAGCCTTGTGTCCCCAGAAAGAGCCCTCCTTCTTGTCAGGTGGTTCTTCTCTGGAACTTGCCCTTTCTGAATCTGTGCATGGTGAATTTGTGCTTTTCAATTCTGGCTCTGCAGGTGCTCTAAAGAGCTGAACCAGTGGGAGGCCTTGACTGAGTACGGCCAGTCGAAGGGCCACATCAACCCCTACCTGGTCCTGGAGTGCGCCTGGCGGGTCTCTAACTGGACCGCCATGAAGGAAGCACTGGTGCAGGTGAGCCCCCCACCCCTGTTCATTGGGGTTACTTGCCCATGGTCAGGAGCTGGTGGTACACTGTCAGAGCTGGAGAGACTGGCTGCTAGCTGGCATCTAGAAAAGGGGCCCAAATAAGTGATAGGAATGCATAACCGCTCTAAAGAAAAGAGATGTCTGCTTTTTGCCTAACCTTGGCGTCTTGCTTTGCTTAACCAGCTACAATTAACCGGCTTTGTGACCTTTAAGCGGAGGGAGTAAGCCTGCTCTCCCTGTGCGCTGTCCTCCCATCTCCAGGTGGAAGTAAGCTGTCCCAAGGAGATGGCCTGGAGGGTGAACATGTACCGAGGCTACCTGGCCATCTGCCACCCCGAGGAGCAGCAGCTTGGCTTCATTGAGCGCCTGGTGGAGATGGCCAGCAGTTTGGCCATCCGCGAGTGGCGACGGCTGCCCCATGTGGTGTCCCACGTGCACACGCCCCTTCTCCAGGTGAGCACAGCCTGGCTGGCCATAGCCCGGTGCCTCCACTAGCAGCAAAGAGACGCCCCTCACCTGCTGCTTCCCTCCTCATTCACGTGGGTCCTCAGGAAAGGAAGGCCAGCATTCAAGAAGCAAGCAGTACTTGTCACTTTAGCAGCTTCCGGGGGATGTAAGGTCTGGCGACCGAAGAGTCTCGGGAGGACGTGGGTGATTTTGATGTTTGCCCTTAGCGTCTCACTGCAGTGACCTTGGCTGCTGTCTGGAGTCCCTGGGCAGTGAAGGTGGTCAGCGTGCCTGGCTGCTAACTGGCAGGTTGGAGGTTCAGGGCCAGGAGTAAAAGTGGTTGTTACGTGACAAACAGGAATGAGGAGTAAGCTGGCTGTGGCACCTGAGGCACCCGGAGCAGTTGGTGCTTCCTTTGTACTTGAACCATCAGTCTTCCCAGTCGTCAGACTCCGGCTGCCCTTCATCTGGGCTTTGGGACAAAGCTGAGTCTGGAATCTGATGCTCGTTCTGTCCAGGCTGCCCAGCAGATCATCGAGCTGCAGGAGGCTGCGCAGATCAACGCGGGCTTGCAGCCCAACAACCTGGGACGGAACAACAGCCTCCATGACATGAAGACAGTGGTGAAGACCTGGCGGAACCGGCTGCCCATCGTGTCGGACGACTTGTCCCACTGGAGCAGCATCTTCATGTGGCGGCAGCACCATTACCAGGGTAAACCTGCCTGGTCCGGCATGCACTCACCATGTAATTGCCCCACTGCCCGCCCCACTCCCCTCCCACGTTGTCTATCTGTGGGCAAGGCTGGTAGGTGGCAGTGGGGAGGGCCAGGGTCAGGAGGCAGGTGATGCAAGGAGAAGGTTTCTTTTTCCCACCTGCTACATTTTTCTGGATAGACCGGAACTGCTCCCGGGCACTGCCTGCACGCCTCAGGGGCATGGGCAGTGGGCTCAGAGCTCCGGGTGACGACACCCTTGTTTTTGGAGAGTCCCGTCCTGCCCTGGCCCCAAGCTGCGCTGTTTTCCCTCCCTGCTCTTCCCTTCTCATCTCTGAAACCTCCCAGGCACCTATGTGTTTAGGACCACCTGTGGCATTTCATGGATTAGTTAGCCACCATGGCAACACTGAACTCAACAGTCCCCCGTGTCATTCACTTTTAACATAAACAACAAGGAAAGGCCACTAGGGTTCAGAGCTTCCCGTCATCATACGCCATGTGCATTTATTTTTCATTTTTCATTGAACTCTCACTGGGAGGCATCGAGAAGGGCGTGCTGTGGACTCACCATGCATCTGCTTCACTCTCTAGCTATTGTGACCGCGTACGAGAACAGTTCTCAGCACGACCCCAGTTCAAATAATGCCATGCTTGGGGTCCACGCGTCGGCTTCAGCGATCATCCAGTATGGAAAAATTGCCCGGAAACAAGGACTGGTCAACGTGGCTCTGGATATATTAAGTCGTATTCACACTATTCCCACCGTTCCTATCGTGGACTGCTTCCAGAAGATTCGACAGCAAGTGAAATGCTACCTCCAGCTGGCAGGGGTCATGGGGAAGAATGAGTGCATGCAGGTGGGTGCAGGGACGGCCCCGACAGTCTCTATTCTGAAGTATGCTCGGTGCTACTGTGCTTCAGGAAAGAAAATTTAAGGCAACACAACTTAAGTGTAAGGTTGGTTTGGGTTATGTTCAGGGAAGTACTGATAAAAACAAACTGTGGCTAGCTAGTAAAAGCTTTGGAAAAATAAGAATAATCCACTATTTAAGGGACTCTCAAAGAAAAAAAAGCTTTAGAGAGAATAACACACTGTGTGTCTAGGGTTCATCTTGGTGTCTAGGTGTAAATTTACCTGTTGGACAGCAAATAATGAGGCAGGCAAGTCTGTTACCAGTTTAAAGCATACTGTTAATGACTTCCAGGACTTATTGCCTTGATCAATGATATTATTGATCTAGGAGTTTCAGTAACGTTTTCCTATTCATTTTTTAATTTTAATTTTTTTTTTAAACCAGGGCCTTGAAGTTATTGAATCTACAAACTTGAAATACTTCACAAAAGAAATGACAGCTGAATTTTATGCACTGAAGGGAATGTTCTTGGCTCAGATCAACAAGTATGTGTGTTATGTGGGAGGGCAGCTAGTGAAAACGCATTAGAATGTTTAAATCAATGATTTCTAACTTGAAACCAACACGAAGCTTAAGGTAGAAATTGGATGATTTAGAGATAGGTGTTGGGTGTAAGGTTTTAGGTATTGTGCCTCCAGTAGGTGGGTGAGCCAGGTCGCTGTATAGTGGTAGGTGGGTGAGCCAGGTTGTTGTGTAGTATTTAAGAAGCTTGTTCAAAACAAGTTGGTTGAACCTGGGAGTGTTGCTAACGTGGATTGATCCCCACGCTGTAAGCCTGCCATTTCGGGGATGTTGAGTCCCTTTTGGGAGAGGTGTGCTCATTCTAGAGGTTGGGTCAGGAAACAGGCCTCTGAGTGGAAGCAGCCAGCCTCTGGGCTTTGTGAATGAAATTGTACTGGCCCACGTCCGTACTAGGTGGGTAGTGAAGCTGCTGGCTGGGAACCATGTGGCACACAAACCAAAACATCTGCTCTGGCTTGTCACAGAGGAGGCGTGCTGAGTGCTGTTCTAGGGAAGTAAGGATCACATCTTTCACGTTGGTTTTTTTTTTTTTTTTAATTGCGATTTGGGTGAAAATTTACAGAGCACGTTCACTTTCCATACAACAGTTCATACATACTTTGTCTCGTGACGTTGACCACAATTTACCGCAATGCAACAGCTCCCCTCCCACTTACTCCCGATAGTTACCTCTTCCCTGTGTCCATCCCTCCATGTACTCCTGCCCCCTAAGCTGTCTCCCTGTGCATACACAGCCCTTCTATTCTCCCATTATTGATCTCTCCAAGGAGTGTATCTACCTCAGGAAAATGTTCAACTCATATGCCTTGTATTTTGTTTGGCTCGAATCCACAGGTGTAGGTTCAGTTTCAGACCTGACAGGCAGCTAGGGGCCATAGTCTCAGTGGTTCCACCAGGCTCTGTCAGACTAGCAAACCTGGTTTCCCGCCCCCCTTTTGTTTTCTCCAAATGATTTTGAGTTTTGTTCCACATTGTTCTCCCTTTCTGTCCAGGATCTCCTCCATAAATCCCCTTCCAAGTAGTTGACAGTGGTAGCTGAGCATCATCTAGTTCTTCTGGTCTCATAGTCATAGAGGCTGCAGATTGGGTGGTGTACCAGTTGCTAGGACTAATTGTTTCCATGAATTTTTGGTTTTCTTCATTCTTCTTTGCTCTGGACTAGGAGAGACCCATTGTTGCATCTAGATGGCTGCTTGCAAGCTTTTAAGATCCCAGTCACTACTTGCCAAAGTAGGAGGTGGAACAATGTTTTGTATAGTATGTTGTGCCAATTGAGCTTGATGTCCCCTGTGACTATGGTCCTGAGCCCATAGGTTCAACTACTTGGTCCCTCAGAGTAGCTGGCTGTGACCAAGCAGTGACTACAACTTTTCCCCTTGTCAGCTCTATATCACTTTGTACTTCTTTGTTCATGCTACCTATTGACATGTACAGAGCATTGAAGCCCTCTTTTCACACTCTTGAGTATGGAAGGATTACATTTTTAGCTTGTTTTTACATAAGGAGGCAAAAATAGTTTTATGAGTTTTACAATTGTAATGAGATAAAATTCACACAACAAAATGCACCATCTGAAATGTGATGTTCAGCAGGTTTTAGTACATTCACAATGTTACATGACCATGGCCACTAGCTAGTTCTAGAACATTCCTGTCACTCCTGAGGTAAACTGCTACCTATTAGTGTTCGTTCCTGCCTCCTCCCAGGCAGCCACTAAACTACTTTGTCTCTGAATTTGCCTATTTTGGACATTTCATAAGGAGCTCTGGTGGTGCAGTGGTTAATGGATTCTGCTGCTAAGCAAAGTTGGTGATTTGAACCCACCAGCCGCTCCGTGGGAGAAAGATGAGGCAGTTTGTGACCATAAAGATTTATAGCCTTGGAAACAGTTGTGGGGCAGTTCCCCTCTGTCCTCTAGGGGCGCTGTGAGTCAGAATCGACTCCAGGGTAGTGGGTGTGGTTTGGGCTTTGCTTCTGTGAAGAGTTACAGCCTTGGGAACCCTGTGGGACAGTTCCACTCTGTCCTCTAGGAACATTGTGAGTTGGAATCGACTCCACGGCAGTGAGTGTGGTTTTTGGTGTGGCCATTTCCTACAGATGGAATCGTCCAGTGTGTGGCCTTTCGTGTCAGGCTTCTTTCACTTAGCACAGTGTTGTCATGGTTTATGTGTGTTGTAACACATATCAGTATCACGGTTCAGTGATATTTAATTGTATAGATATTCCACATTTAATTTATGTATTCACCTAGTGATAGACACGTGGGTTTCTACTTCTTGATTCTTGTGAATAATGGTGCAATGAACATTCATTTCAGTATCTGAGTTCCTGCTTTCCTTGTGGGGGAGGTCCCTCCCCCCCAGGAGTGGAATTACTGGCCCATGTGGTAATGGTGTCCTGAAAGCAGCACAGCCACAGTGCTCTGGAGAAGTGGCGACAGGGAGCCTGTCTTGCTTACACTGAGCATGGTGTTGGGAGGGACCAGTCCCTGGAGAAGGACATGTGCTTGGTAAAGTAGAGGGTGAGCGAAAGAGGAAGACCCTCGATGAGACGGAGTGACACGGTGGGTGTGGCAGTGAGCGCAGACCTGCCTCCTGCTGTGGGGCTGCCCAGGGCCCGGCAGCGTTTTGTTCTGTTGCACTTGGGTTGCTGTGAGTCGGAATTGATGCGATGGCCCCCAACAGCAACAATGACGTGATGGTTTTGTTTAACTTAGGATTTCACATTCCACCAGGAAGTTCTTGATGTCTTATCCAATCCCTTGTTACAGGTCTGTGTAGGGGACACTGTTAAGGCATCGGGATGCTAAGCAGAAGGCTAGCAGTTCACATTGCCCAGCTGCTTTGCAGAAGATGGGGCAGGCTGCTTCTGTAAAGGTTTACAGCCAAAGGGGCTGCTGTAAGTCGGAATCGACTTGGCGGCAGTGGGGTTTTTGGTTTTCTCTCTTCCTGGGTCAGTTGTTAGTTTGTGTCTTTCTGGGACTCGGTCCTTGGTATTTAGGTAATTTGTTGGCACCTTTGTTCAGGTATCCGCTGAAGTTTTTTTCTTTTGTAAGATCAGCAGGAATGTTCCCTCTTTCATTTTTCATTTTAGTTATGTGAGTTGTGTCTCTTTTTACCTTAGTCTGTTTAATGGGTTGTCAATTTCATTGATCTTTTCGAAGAACCAACTTTTAGTACTAAATTCTCTTTGCATTTTTCTATAGTCTATTTCATTTATTTCTGCTCAGATCTTTCTTTCCTCTACTTGCTTTGAGTTTTCTCTTTTAAGGTGGAAGTTTAGATGATTTGTGATCTTCTTTTAACACAGATATTTTAATACAGGTGTCTGGTAATTCCTCAAAAAGTTAAACGTAGAATTGTTGTATGACCCAGGACTTCTTAGCTGTGTAGCCAGAAGAACTGGAAACAGGAAACTCAAATACTTAGCGTGGCTGTTCATTACAGTCTTACTCACAATAGCCAACAAGTGGAAACAACCCAGAAACTCATCATTGGGTAAATAGGTAAACAAAATGTAGTCCATTCATGCAAGGGAGTGTCATTAGCCGTAAAAAGACATGAAGGTCTGATTCGTGCTGCATCATGGATGGACCTCAGAAATGCTACAGGAAGAGAAGGAAGCCAGACACGCAAGGCCACATCTTCTGATTCTGTTGATAGGAAACAGGCCAGTCCATAGAGATGGAAAGCAGATAGGTGGTCTCCAGGGCAGGGGAAGGGCGAATGGGGAACGCCTGCTTACTGGGTGTAGGGTACTCTTTTGAGGTGGTGAAAGAGTTTGGAACTTGAGGTAAGTGATGGTTATACAACATTGTGAATGTACTAAACGCTACCAAAATGTGTGTTTTTAAATGGCTAATTTTAGGTTACGTGGATTTTGCCTCCTTTTAAACCCCCAGGTCTGAGGAGGCTAACAAGGCCTTCTCTGCGGCCGTGCAGATGCACGACGTGCTGGTGAAAGCCTGGGCGATGTGGGGCGACTACCTGGAGAACATCTTTGTGAAGGAGCGGCAGCTGCACCTCGGGGTGTCTGCCATCACCTGCTACCTGCACGCGTGTCGGCACCAGAACGAGAGCAAATCCAGGAAGTACCTGGCCAAGGTGAGGCTGGGCCAGTTCACTTGGCCCAGAACTATCTGGCCTCGAGTTCACACCCAAACTGAGCAGCGGTTTAGTGTCTGTGCTGAGCTGAGGCCTGGGCAGGCCTTGGTTCTGGGTTCCCTCTGCTCTCCCAGGTGTCTCTCACAGCTGGCACACTTGCTCCTTTCTGTTGTTGTTGTGCTAAAACGCACACAGCAAAGCGATGTTAACTTGCCATTGCTAAGCGTGTAGCTCACCGATTTCGACGTTCCCCGAGTTGTGCACCCCTTCTTGCTCTGCTTCTCCAAATCACTCCACCGTGACTGTAAGCTCACTGTCCCCAGGCAAGGACTCACCCTCACCCCTCCCTCCTGCCCCAGCGACCCCGCGTGAGGTTCTGTGCATTTGCTTACTCCATGTGAGTGAGATCATACGGGATTCCTCCTCCTGCGACTGATTAATTGTGCTCAGCATGATGGTTTCAAGGTTCATTCAAGTTGTGACATGCAGAGTTCTCTTTCAAAGCTGAGAAAAGTAGACGTATTTAGGGACCCAGGACCTTGCTAGTGACAAAACCTGGAGAGTGGTGTCAGGTGGTGTCAAGACTCCGTGTCCTGTCCTCTGTGACATCTCAGGCTGGATAAGGACCCCATGGGCAACATAGCAGTGGTGTCTGGAGGTGGAACTTACAGACTCTCACCATAGGGTCAGGGTCCTCACAGGGGTATGCAGAGTGAGCTGCAGTAGTGATGGATCAGTGACCTTGCTGGCCTGCCAGCGCCTCTGATGATGACAGGGCCAGGCCCGGTGATGACCAGCTGAGGTTGGGGTCCTTCTGCAGTGCCGCGCCGTGTCTTCCCTCTCGAGAAACAGACGGATGAACCCAGAGTTTGTTCTGGCAGCAAAACCTGCCTTTTAGTTTTGTCTACTAACGGTCTGGGTTTTTTAGAATTCTTAGATGTGATACCAGATTTGGGGATGTACATCAGTATTTGTTGTTATTGTTACGTGTCGTCGAGTTGGACCTGACTCGTAGTGTTTGGGTTTCTGAGGCGGTATCTTTACAGAAGTAGATTGCCCAACCTTCCTTCCGAGGAGTGGTTGGTGGGTTTGAACCGCCAGCCTTCTGGTTAGCAGTCAAGTGCCTTAGGCACTATGCTACCAGAGCTCCCTCAGTACTTGGTAGTTATGGGCAATGACAGAGGGAGCCTTGGTGGTGCAACAGTGAAGTGCTCAGCTGCCAACTGATGGGCTGGTGGTTTGGACCCACCCAGCGACTTTTGGGAGAAAGACCTGGCAGTTTGTTGCCATAAACATGACACCCTAGAAAACCCTGGGGGACAGTACTACCTTGTCACAGGGTTGCCGTGAGTCAGAGTCAACTCTAGGGCGCAGGGCAGCAACATGGAGATTCCAGCCAGCTGTAGTTACACTGTCTAAAGGCCTGATTCCAAAATTGCTGATGAGCCGTCATTGTTTGTGATACCTGTGAGTACTGCACTGCCCACATGCAGCTGCCTGGTCCAAGCATGGTCTTCATCTGAGAATTTTGGCAAAAATCCATCTTGGTTTGGTTAGAGCACACGTTGTGAATTAGCAAGTCAGCAGGCCTTAGCCTCTCACTACTGTGGGGTGACTGGCCACCGCTGCCGGCACACTTGGATCTGTTAACTGTCACTGAAGACAATCAAAACGCAAACATTCAGATTTCCTTTTCACTCGCACTGTGAGGTTTATAATGGGAGGTTCAGCAGTACTGTCGGCCCTTTTGTAGGTAATCCTCTACTTGTCAGTAAAGCTGGTCTGTGTGGCACTTAATGTTGGAAAAACATCACTTGATTAAAGCCCCCAGAATTCTCCTTCGGCTCTCAGATTTTTCTTTCCGTCTCAGGTGCTGTGGCTTTTGAGTTTTGATGACGACAAGAACACGCTGGCTGACGCCATAGACAAGTACTGCATTGGCGTGCCTCCCATCCAGTGGCTGGCCTGGATCCCCCAGCTGCTAACCTGCTTGGTCGGCTCAGAGGGCAAGCTGCTTCTGAACCTTATTAGTCAGGTGGGTGCGAGATGACGTCTTTATCCACAGCACAGTGTCAGCGCTCCTTTGTTTTTTCCCGGAAAGAAAACTTGTGTGCTCAGAGTATCGACCCAAGAGCTTTAGCTGTCGGGATGTCACTTGGTGGTAAACACAGTCAAAAGTTGGTGCAGAACCTGTCAGTTGAACTGCGATGTCTAATAGGATGATACAGGCTTAGAATTGCCTTTGCTTAAACATCTTTCCACACGTCATGCAGGTAAAACAGACATTCTGTTAATGAAAGATTACTAATAGCCACTCTGAGAGTTGCTGCTGTTGTCATCAGGTGCCGTGGAGTCGATCCGACTCATAGAGGCCCTGCGTACAACAGAACGAGACCCTCTCTGGTCCTGCCCCAGCCTCTCAGTCGTTGCTGTGCTGAGTCTGCTGCTGCAGCCCACTGTGTCAGCGCATCTTGCTGAGGGTCCTCCTCCTCTCGGACCCTGTACTTTACCAAGCTTGATGCCCTCCCCCAGGGACTGGTCCCTCCTGGTAACATGACCCGAGTACGAGAGATGAGATCTCTCCATTCTCTCTTCTGAGGAGTGTCCTGGCTATACCTGTTCCAGGACAGGTGTGTTCACTCTGGCATCCGTGCGGTAGTCTGTACTCTGCACCAAGACCGTGATGCACGTGCATCAGTTCTTCAGTCTTCCTTACTCACTGTCCGGCTTCCACGCACAAAGGAGGCGATTGAAGACAGCCTGGCTTGGGTCAGGTGCAGCCAAGTCTTCGCTTTGGAATGCTGTGTAGAGGTCTTTCACAGCAGCGTTGCCCAGCGTTTCTTATTTGATTTCCTGTCATGCTCTTTGGCCTTGTTAAGGCTAAAACTGACCCATCGTGGTTGTTGCCCTTTGTACAGTTCAGCTGAGGCTTCAGGTTGTGTGGACCGGGTGGGGTGGGGAAGTTAGACAGACCAGTATTTAGGAAGGTTTTGGGATATACCTCTCCCATGAGTAGAAACCTGGAGGTGGTTGTATCTGGGATACGGTACGCTTGACTGCGCTTCCTCTCATAAAATCGTAAAGAAAATGTATCTTCGCAAGTGACCCCATGCGTTTTACAGCAGGCAGCATGTCATTCTGTGCTGTTTGCTCTTCATGTGTGGTGCGTCATCAGTAAAGGACTCAGAGCTGGTTTTGTTTTTCCTGGAGAGGTGTCACTGTGTCCTGGGGTCTGGCCCTCTGCTTAGAGCTGCTCAGTCAGTATGGAGACTCAGCCATTTGGGGTTGTCATTCGTTGAGCGTGTTTCAGAGTGCACAGCCAGCCAGCCTGCGGCGTGTGGCAGGGATGATTCCTTTCCATTTCACGGGCACATTTTGAAGGGTCAGAGTAACAGTGTAACGTCCACGTGGCCCTTCTGAAGGAGCCATGGAACTCTCTAGGCTGGTAAAAATGGTATTTCGTACCTTAGCGGATGTTTTTCCACTTTCTTGCTGAAGTTTGCAAAGTAAAGCTGCTTGCCAGTGGGCCCGATTCTCTGTTAACTAGGCTTAGTCCACAGTTTCCAGTGCAGCATGCCGAGTATGGAGGCTGAGTGGTGTCCTTACGTCCCCTCTTATTTGCTTGAAGAAGATCCAGGGGCTGGTGCGTTATGCCCATTTGGTTTACCAAGTTAGGTGAGAGTGTAGTGTGTCCCTGGTAGATGCTGACAGATCAGTGAATCATACTATGTTGGTGGTCATTGGGTCTTAGTGCTGAACTAGATCTGCCTGCTGATAGGTCTCGTGTGCGAGGTCACTGGTGCGGGGTGTGCTTCTCATTAGAGACTCACGGCAGTTTTGTATAAACGTAAACTGGCTATGATCCTGTCTTCATCGAGAGGCACGGTGATGAGAGGTGCTGCCCCCGTGTCTCTGAGCAGGTTGGACGTGTGTACCCACAAGCTGTCTACTTCCCCATCCGGACGCTGTACCTGACGCTGAAGATTGAGCAGCGGGAGCGCTATAAGAGCGGTACGTCCCTGGAGGGGCTGGAGGGCACACGGGCCAGTCCTGTCATTGGCCAGTGAGGAGCATGTGGGGCCGGGAGGCAGAGCATGATCTCTGATGAGGTCTGGTTCTCCCTGGCTACAAGGACAGACGTTGATTTACCTTGAAGGGTTGTAAGTGAGAGAATTATATGACGTTTTTAGCTCCAGGGAATGATAAAGTTTACCTTGCTTCATCAGTTATAAATGCATCCCTATGAGTAATGTAGATGCCAGTTAGTGTGCACGTCCGTTGTGTTGGCTACAAGGGATAACTTCAGCCGTTGAAAGAATTGACCTTCACAGCAACCTCAGCAGCTGTTTGTAGCAATGAACACAGAACACAGAACATGTATGTCCACGTCAGATAGTCCTTACTAACAGTGTCATTACCCACTAAGCATGGTGCTTTCTAAACAGCTAAAGGACCGTTTGCTTCACAGTGTTTTTAACACCCAGATGGTTGTGCCACAAGGCCACAGTCTTTTCGGGATGCGGGATCATTTGCTGGTCGCGTGGTTATGTTGCTCATTAGCCAGCGGGTGGGCTGGGGGAATGTGCAGTGTGTTTCAGCTCTACCCTCCGTGGAGTCTACTTAAATAGTCATTGTCATTAAAATTAAGGGTTTTAGTTCTAAGACTAAAGGGGCTGAGAGGGCATCCATGGTCTGTTTCCCATAGAGCAAGTGACTGTATCTTTAAAAACCGCTCCTTCTGTGCATGGTGCAGCCTTCCCAGGTGACGGCCATGTTGTGTAGACTTGTTTTCCATTCTCTGAGCTGTAGCAGCAGAGACTGATTCTATGAAAGGAGGAATGGACACAGTTCATTAACAATAATTCACAGAAAGGCCAAGGGGCACCAAGCACTTGTACCCCCTTCCCGGGTGGGGAAAGTGAACACTTGTAACCCCCACCCCGGGTGGGTGCACCAAGGGCTTGTACCCCCTTTCCCGGGATTCACCAGTCAGCACTTACCCTCTCGGCATGTGCACAGAGCCCAGTGAAGCAAGGGTGTGGATGGCCACGTCTGTCATCCCCGAGCCCCTCGGCCTGCCCTGCTGGAGCAGGGTGGCCTCCTGTTCCCCTGCCCACCGTGGAGTGCCAGTCTGAGCGGGTAGCATGCCATTAGGAGCCTGCGTTCCTGTGGCTGGTGGGGGCCCCAGGAGCACCGAGCGCTCACCTGGCCGGTGTGGTGCTGACATTGGTGTCGTGTGTGTTGCTCTCAGATTCTGGACAGCAGCAGCCCAGTTCAGTGGGTAACCAGTCCCATTCTGCATCAGATCCAGGGCCCATAAGAGCCACGGCCCCCATGTGGCGCTGCAGCCGAATCATGCACATGCAGCGGGAGCTGCACCCCACCCTGCTGTCGTCCCTGGAGGGCATCGTCGACCAGATGGTCTGGTTCCGGGAGAACTGGCACGAGGAGGTACTGGGTGCGGGCTGGGGACCGTGACGCACCGTGCGCTCGTGGCTCTTACCTTGCAAGGCAGTCACCTGTTCATCTCAGAAACAAGCTCTTTTCTTGTTGGGTTGAATTACGAACGGGAAGTAGTTCAACCCACACACAGAGATGAGTGTTGGAGCAGGTGATGTCGAGCAGGGCGCTGTTGGCATTGAATCGGTTACTTGAGTCACTTCAATGAGTTCAGTCACTGGGTACCACCATAGGGCATTGGTGGGTGTGGGCTGGAGTGGGTCAAGGTCACGGTGAACCCTGAGTTGGGGACTGCCCCAGTGCATGGCTAGCAGCCTGGCTACCCCCACTGATGTTTTGCTTAAGGTGATATCAAAACAGTCAAGCCTTCATATCCCAGACGTTGACCTGGGTGGGCATCGGGCCTGCTCTGGTGGTTGCTGGTGACCTGTGCACACACGTGTGCGACGGTGAGAACGAAGCCAGCAGAAAGCCCAGTCATGCTGGATGTAGGCAGCAGCAGGGGCTGCATGCGGCCACGAGAGGGTGGGTTTGTGTTTTGAGGGGTTTTTGTGTGTGTTGACAGTTGGACCAGTCACTTTTAAAGGCATTGGTTTGCGTCATGCACACAGTGCCCCGTCTTTGGTGTAGTCAGTGGTTTTACGCCCACTGTGTGCAGGGTCCCTGTGGTGACAGGGCCTGTGCAGTGGAGGGTGATTGGGTGGCTCACCTACACAGAGAGCTGTCTTGTGAGACGTCTCTGGGCTCTTTCCTCCAGGTCCTTAGGCAGCTCCAGCAGGGCCTGGCCAAGTGCTACTCAGTGGCGTTTGAGAAAAGCGGAGCTGTGTCTGATGCGAAGATCACCCCCCACACTCTCAATTTTGTGAAGAAGCTGGTGAGCACGTTCGGGGTGGGCCTGGAGAACGTGTCCAACGTATCCACCATGTTCTCCAGTGCAGCCTCAGAATCGCTCGCCCGGCGGGCTCAGGCCACCGCCCAGGACCCCGTCTTCCAGAAGCTGAAAGGCCAGTTCACCACTGGTGAGTTTTGCCCGCTTGCTGTTCTCCATCTGTAATGCCTGTACCACTTGCATAAAGGGTCAGTACTGTGGCCCTCACAGGACACTGGGTGAGCACAGGGATGCTGTCGCCATCACCACCGTCACCAGACACCTCCTCCAGCAGAGGACCCCGGGGTGTTGAAGCAGCACCAGCCTGCTCCAAGTCGGGGTTACACTTCTCCACCAGGCTACCCTCTTCTGCCCCTCAACTCTTCACTTGGTTTTGGCAGGAACCAGTGTGAGATGTGGTCGTGGAGTTCAGGGTACGAGGCTCAAGATGACGGGTATAAAGTTGAGGTAGATTCTGGTGGCAAAACAACGAGTAGGTTATAATTTCAACGCCTGCTCCTGGTTCAGGTTCCTGCCTTTTCTTAGACCAGAGTAGGTCCGACCCGACTCTTCCCACACTGAGTAACGTTAACTGCAGTTTCTTCCTTTGTTGGTGGAAGTCTGAACCCTCTCGCACTCCCGTGTGCCCCCACTGCTGTGCTCCACTGGCCGGCCGTGGCCTGTGGAGCAAGTGTGGGTATCTCCCCCCCGTGCTTCACCAAGGGAGCCTGTGGTGAGCACTGCCCTGCCCGTGAGCACTGCCCTGCCCATGAGCACCAGGCACCCAGAGGAGGCGTTCAGGAGTCACACAGACTTCTGGCCACGTACAGGTAGCTATCATGTGAAAATAGCATTTATCCGGTAAAATGTCCCAGAGCTGAAGAAGATTTCACTCATGTCTGCTTTTGCGGTTGTCTTTAACACAGTCATGACTGATACACTAATTCTTGAAATAGGTGGGTCACAGCTTTAGATATTCAAAGTCTTTTCAAGACTTGCTGTGTCTTCAAGAACACGGTTTAAAGCATGTATGGGGTAGGATGAAGTAATGTGAAAGAAAATGTTTATCTTGTGGGCTGGAAAGGTCATGCACAGTTTGCAGCCATGACTTATTTTACATCCATCTGGATGCAGTGAGTGACCCACCCTTCCCTCTGGGCCTCCGTGCTGGGTCACCGGCTCTCTAGTGCACATGAAGGGTGGGAAGTGGGGAGCTTGTGGCCTCATGATGAACCAGCGTGCCTGAGGTGGCCGCTGCTTCAAACAATTTCAAATGCTTTCATCATCTCTGAGTTGTTCTTCATAATGTTCTTACATGTGGCCTGTTCTCTTCTGGAAAAGTGTCTAAGATGAAAGTTCTTGGAAACCATCTTACTTTAAATAAATTGAAAGAAAGTAATATTGAGTAGGTCTTCTTATGACATCCAGACCACTGAGTGTACATTGGCAGAGGATGAGGTGTGGGGCATGTCAGCTGAACTTTATCAAAAACCACAGAAACGAAAACCTGAAAGATGACGGGTGGCTTCTGGCCAACCTCAAGTTGTAGGAGTTTTAGTGGGCGTGGTTTCACGTTAAAGGGAAACCAGATGAGCTGTATTGTACACCACTGCAGACTTGAGTACAGCCGGTGACAACTTTGTACGGTTCTATTCACGTGTGGACCGTGACGATCAGACACCAGACTCGGCCGTGTGTCAGGACGAGGGCCGCGTGCACAGCGACACGTTACACTTGCTCCTGCAGGGCTGTTGTCAGCTGCCCCGGGTCAGTGCAGACGAGGCCTGCTCCACAGGCCCTTCCAGGCTGCTGTCTTTCTGAGGCACATTGCCAGGCATGTCTTCTGGGCACCACTGGGTGGGTTTGAGCTGCCAGCATTTTGGCTAGCAGTCAGAGACACGGATGGGTGTTACTTACTGTTCGCGGTCCTGTTATACGTGGGAGAAAGATGGCTCCAGAGGCAGACTGCTCCATAATTTTGTCCTGCAGAGCTGGCCTGAGTGGAGCCTAGGCCAGCCTGGGGCGAGCGCATTGGAATCTCGGAGGGACTGGGGTGCTTACGGAAGGAGTTCTAGGTTTGATTGGCCTTTTAATGTTGAGTCTTAAAATCAGAAATTTCCGTTAATCAGTATTCTGGTTTTTTAATGGTCTACGTGGAAAGCTCACGGTTTTCTATTTTTGTTGATCTCAGTTTCTTGCCGTGGTTCCTCTGGCTTACGCGTGTGTAACTGAGGGCTCCCTCAGCTTCGTACTGTTCTGGCTTTGGTTCAGGGCCTCTGCTCACCACGGTGCTTGAGCTTGGGGCCGAGCCACTGTGGGATGGGACCTTGAGGAGCCTTTGTGCCAGCGTGAGGTGGACTCCCTGTTGAGGTTCACCCACAGCCTGCCAGCCCCTGGCACTTTCTGAGGGCTTGACACCCCATGCGGCCCTCAGAGGCCTGAGTGTCCACCTCAGCCGTGTCACCTATCTCATGGTTGGGATGAGATTCTCTGTGGACGTGTTGAGTTTCAGGCTGTACCCTGAACCCAACTGGGGTGCACAGAGCTGAGCCTGTGGCTTCTCCTGGTTTGCAGGCCTGAACTTAGACCTGGAAGGGCAGGAGGATGTAGCCTGCTGGGTTGCAGACTCTATAACATTCTTTCCAGAGCTGGCAGGCGTGTGAGCAGTGATGAGAGGAGTCTGAGAGAGACTGAGATGGTTAAAGTGTGTTTACTTGTGTTTGTTTTGAAGATTTTGACTTCAGTGTTCCAGGATCCATGAAGCTTCATAACCTTATTTCTAAATTGAAAAAATGGATTAAAATCCTGGAGGCCAAGACCAAGCAACTTCCGAAATTCTTCCTCATCGAGGAGAAGTGCCGCTTTCTGAGCAATTTCTCGGCGCAGACGGCGGAAGTGGAAATCCCTGGGGAGTTTCTGATGCCGAAGCCCACGCACTACTACATCAAGATCGCTCGGTGAGTGGGCCTGTGGTGCCTGAGAGCTGGCAATGGTCCTGTCTGTTCCCCTCACAGCCGACGTAGTGGGTCCCCTTACCCTCCCCTCAGAGCTGTCCTCTCTGGTCGCCTCAGCCTCCCTCCAGCTCTGGGCCTGTGCCACCTCAGAGCCAACGACTGTGCCATCTGTCTGCCCCCAGTCCAGCTCAGGTGTTTCCAAGGAGGGAGGTGTCTGTGCTTTCAGAACTACTCTTTTCTTAATCAGCGTAGAAACTGGGAAAATGTCCTTTTCTGGCCTTGAAATGCTGCAAGTACAGCTCTCAGAACAGAACCAGGAGGTCGTAGTATTCTCTGCCAGTTGTTGCTTTGCATTAAAATGGAGAAAGTGCTTTGAAGAGGCGTCCCCCGACAGACAGATGGGCGTGTCCTCCCCTTCTCAGACTAGGGCTCAGCTTTTGCGCTGTGTGATGAGGCCTCTGGTCAGCAGGCTGCAGGTGAGGGCATGCCCGTCCCTACACTGGCTCCTCAGCACAGGGCGTGGTCACCTCCCTGCCCTGCCTCAGGGCCTGAGAAGGCAAGATGGTCTCCTTCCTGACATCCAGACCCCAGCGCCCCCAGCGGCCGGCTGCCAGCATCCTTAGGGCCAAGTTCAGCCCGTTTTCAGCTAGCAAGTTTGCACCCTGTGGCCGTTTCTTGGAAACTGTAGCTTCACCTTCTCTCCCCTTTGCCTTTTCCCTTTGCTCTGCTTTCTTCCCTATGTCGTGAAAGAAACGCTGCTCCCCATTCACGGTGAGCCCGTGTGGGTCAGCGCAGGCCGCACCCCACATGATCCTCAGTGGCTCATTCTTCTCAAGTTGGCAGCCTGGCTTTTCTCCCAAGGAGACTCTGCAGGGGCTCGGATCTCCAACCTTTCACTAGCAGCCGAGCGTGTTATCCGTGTGCACCACCCAGAGCCTCCTGTGTCAGATCCTGTCTTGTTAGTGCTGGTTCAGTCCTTGCCTTCTGTGTGGGAGATGGCGGTTTGATTCTCAGCCAGTGTTCTTGCCCCCACCCCCACCCCTGGTCCCTCAGGGAGGCTGTGTGTTGCTGGGATGCTGAGCAGAGCGTTCAGTCTGTTCTGGTTCTGGTGCTGCTTCGACAGGAATGCACCACAAATGGGAGGCCTTAACAAACAGGAGTTTATTCTCTCACAGTTGGAAGGCTTTAAGTCCAAGTCCAAAGTGCCAGGCTCTAGGGGCTGGGTAAAAGCCCATCAACCTTGGGGTCCAGCTCTGCTTCCTGCTTCTGGCCCACTGGAGCTAGAGGCGTTTCTTCACTCAGACAGCTGCTGGCTGCTGAGGCTGACAAGCCCAAGGTTGACAAGTAAAAAGGCACAGTCCCTCTGTGACCAAACTATGTGGCAGGCCATTAATTTAAGTCCACTGTAAGTCCCAAGGTCGGCAGAGCATGGCAGGCTGCTGAACAATGACACGGGTACATGCAGAGTCCAAGCGTGCCATAAGCTAGAGAATATCCCCAAGGCTTCTCCTTATATACAGGAAGCAGACCACATCCCAAAGGCAGCTACTCAGTTGATTGCCAGTCTCATCATGGGAGACTGGCCCGGCCACTCAACCAGGCCCAGCCCAGTTGACACACAAACGTAACTACCACACAGAGTAAGGTGGACTGGGTGGAAGAACCCAGGACCTACTGCTGTAAGTGACCAGAGTAAACCCTGTGGATCTCAGTGGGCCGACCCCACCCAAGCACGGGGACGGCAGGGTTTCATTCCAGTGTGCATGGGTTGCCGTGAACTGGGAGCCAACTGGATGGCCGTCAGTGGCAACGCTTCCCCCGTGACAAATCACCCTGCATCCCGCTCAGGACCAGGAGGGGCGTCTCTCGGCCATGCTGAGTGTGTCGCTGCCCCACAGGTTCATGCCCAGGGTGGAGATCGTGCAGAAGCACAACACCGCGGCCCGGAGGCTGTATATCCGTGGACATAATGGCAAGATCTACCCCTACCTCGTCATGAACGACGCCTGCCTGACCGAGTCGCGCCGGGAGGAGCGAGTGCTGCAGCTGCTGCGCCTGCTCAACCCCTGCCTGGAGAAGAGGAAGGAGACCACCAAGAGGCACCTGTTCTTCACAGGTGTGTGGGCCGTGAGCTGGGGCTGCGGGTCGTCCCCTCAGCTTACCTGCACCAGGCAGAGGTGGCCTCGGTCTTGTCTCAGGCCCCCTCCCTGACACGCAAGGGTCTCAGCCGTGTGCGGCCTCTCGCCTCACTGGGTACCTGTCCGGACTCCGGTGGAGCCCGGGCTGAGCTGGTTGCAGGGTGTCAGTGTTGCCCTCCAGCACCAAGTGAGGCCCTGACCCCCTCCCAGACCACGCCACAGTGTGTGGGTGGCTGAGTCTGCTTCCTGGAGGGAAATCCAACACACCACAGACAGGGCAGCCTGTGCCGGCCTCCGCAGCCGGGTCGAGTGGGGCCAGCTAAGCAGCAGCTGCCTCTGAGTGAAGGCTTCCCTGGCTGCATTCTTGCGGGGGTATGTGTGAATTTCAGTTTGTACCAGAGATGTTGACAAGACCCCTGAAGTCCCACCCGGAGAGGCAGCCATTGTCAGGACCTCTCGGCACTGTCCCTGAGGCCGGGAGCCCACTGCAGTGTCTCCCGCCCAGGCTTGTTGGGAGCATCCTTTGACAGCCAGGTGGATTCCAACCTGTTTTGACAGTGAATCTCTGACCCTTGAGTTCAATATCCCCTCAGAAGTAGGTTCAGAAATGAGGTTGCACTTGGGATTTCTCTCAGCTGGCCCCCTGCCTTCTGGCGCGCACAGAGGCAGCCCCTTGGGCTGTGCCGCAGCCGGCTGCCTACGCTGTGGTGTGCGTGGAAGCCCAGCTGTGCTGTCTGTGCTTTGTCCAAAGTCCTCGGTGAGCACGGAGGACGGTGCAGGGAGCGGACAGCGGCGTGGTGGGACAGCCCTGGGGCTGCAGCACGGTCCCCAGGCAGCAGCCACAGCTCGGCAGCCTGTGCCACCACAGCTACTTGTCTGCCAGAGGGCAGATGCATGGGGCACGCCAGGCCCTGGGGCCGCGGGACGGTGCACACAGAGACCAGGTGACAGCTGCAACTCCCACGTCACCGGGCGAGGTCGCTATCGTGACCCATGCTGACCAAACTTAGCTTCTTTACGTCCTCTTGAAATCTATAAGACTTCTCTAACCCGTTCCAACTAAATACTTCAGTCGTACTACCTTAGGCTATCTTTGCGTAAGGTTTCATCTCCTGTAACTGACAAGTGACCCTGTGAGGGAGATACAGTCACTGTTCTTTGTGGATGAAGCACCTGAAGGTCACACAGCTCAAGAAGTTTCCCCAAATTCACATCCTGGGTGAGGCCCCACACAGCCTCCTGTTCCCCACCCCCTGCCTCCAGTTGGTGCAGACCCCAAGGCCCGTCACTTAATGAACCACACTGCAAGTACTGGCACGGTGATTGGGGAACTGAATAGTGGCCACTGTGCAGTGGGGGCTATTGACAGATGAGTTGGGTTTATGGATTGACCTGGTGGCTTTCCTGGTTTGAAGCACAGATCATGGTTTGGGTCACTGTTTCCTGCTTGTCCCAGAGATGGCTCCTAACCTTTGTAGAAGCTAAATGAGCAGTTCCATCCCTGAGGCCTTTCTCCAGGGGCAAGGAGGCCTTTGGTAGTGAGGGCCCGATGGGTTTGCTTCACTTTATTCTTTGCTCTTTGTGTTTCATTGTTTAAGATTCCTTCTAAAGCACTCCTGTCCGTCTGTCCTCCACGCAGGTTTATAACCAGCTTGGGAGCCATCACTGCTGAGCGTGGGGTGTGGCCACAGATGTTCCTCAGGGCGCCCCCTAGTGTTTCCCTCCTCTGCTCATGGAGTGCATGTGGGGCTGGGGTTCTTGGCTCCTGGAAATCCTGAAAGGCGACACGACCCTCTCTCAGCCTACCCCCTTTCTCTCCCCTCCCAGTTCCCCGAGTCGTGGCCGTGTCCCCGCAGATGCGCCTCGTGGAAGACAACCCCTCTTCCCTTTCCCTGGTGGAAATCTACAAGCAACGTTGTGCCAAGAAGGGCATTGAGCATGACAACCCCATCTCCCGCTACTACGACCGACTGGCCACGGTGCAGGCGCGGGGCACCCAAGCCAGCCACCAGGTACCTGCTGCTGCTTTCCTGCCCAGCACATAGACTACCAGGGTGCTTCCTGATTGCAGATGACTTTGTCAGCTTTGTGAGTGATCAGACAGCTATCGCTCCTGGTTAGGTGACTTGGCGGCAGGCAGTCTGTCACCAGGCAGAGAGGGCCTCCCTGGCTGGAGACGCTGACGGCAGGACAGACCGGCCTGGCTGCCTGCCTTCTGTCCACTGCCCCTTGCCTGGTCCGCTTTATAACCACTAACTTTGCTTCTTCCTCCTTCACGTTTTCTGACAGCACCCTCGTGGAGCTGTTCCGTAAATGCACTTATAAAGGGTACAGTTGAGTGCACTTTAGGCCGTCCAGAGTTGTGCAGCCCTCACCTCATTTTACCGTTTTCATCACCCCAGAAAGAAGCCTCAGGCCCATTAGCAGTCACTTGCCAGTGGTCCCTACCCCGTAAGCAACTCACTGATGTTTCTGTCTAGATTTTCCAGTTCTGGATACTTCATGAAAAGGGAAATTAGACAGTACAAGGTTCTTTCTGACCAGCTTCCTTCATTCAGTTCTCAAGGGTTAGCCTCGTATCAGAACTTTGTTTTTGTTGCTGACTAACGCTCCACTGTGTGAACGCACCATGGAAGTTAACCTCTTCATCAGGTGATGGATGTTCGCATTATTTCCACTCGTTGGCTTGTTTTGATGAATGATGCTGCCCTGAACCTCTATGTGCGTGTGGGTTTTATTTCTCTTGGCTGCATAGCCAGGAGTGGAACTCAGGTCACGTGGTAACCCTTACGTTTAACATCTTGAGGAACTGCCAAACTTTCCCGGAGTGGACCCAGCAGTGTGTGAGGGTCCTGCTTCCTCCACATCCTCATCAGTACCTGTTAGTCTCTGGGCCAGGTAAGAGCCATCCTGGTAGGTGTGAGGCAGGTCTGTCTTCCTTGTAGTTTAGAGTTGTATTTCCCTAATGAGAAAGGGTGTGGGGCATTTTTTCGTGTGCTTATTGGCCATTTGCATATCTACTTTTGGGAAATAACTATTCAGATCCTTTGTTGTTTTTTGTATGTGTCTTTTTTATTTGGTGATTTGTGTTTTTTATGTGTTTTAGGTACAACTTGTTTATCCAGATACACAATTTGCAAATGCTGTCAGCCATCCTACGTAGGGTGTCCTTTTGTTTTCTTCATGGTGTCCTTTAAAGTACAGACAATTGTAATTTTGATAAAATTTGGTTTATCTTTTTTGGTTGCTTGTGCTTTTGGTGTGAGATCTCAGAAACCATAGCCTGGTAAAGGTCATGAGGATTTACTCCTATGTCTTGTTCTAAGAGTATCGTAGTTTCAGACCTTATATTTATGCATTTGATCCAGTTGATTTGTGTGTGTGGTGTGAGGGAGGGATCTAATTTTATTCTTTTGCATGTGGATGTCTAGTTATCCCAGTGCCATTTGTAGGAAAAAAAAAAAAAAAAAAACTGAAGAAACTGTCCTCTCCCTATTGGTCTGTGTGGGCACTCTTGTTGACAAAACCAGTTCACCGTAAACTGGGGTTATTTTTGGACTCTCTGTTCTGTGTCATTGATACGTGTGTCTCCTCGTGGCAGGACCCCATGGTCTTGATGAGTGTAGCTTTGTAGTGAGTTACGACACTGGAAAGTAAGCCCTACAGAATTGTCTTTGCGAGTCTGTTTTGTCTGTTCTAGGTCCTTTGTGTGTCATGAATTTAAGGATCAGTTTGTCAGTTTCTCTTTTAAAAAAGAAAAATGTGAGCTGGGATTTTGATAGCGACTCGCTTAAATATCTGAAAGAAGATCAGAATGAGTGGTGGCATCCCACGCTCATGGATCACAAGATGATTGGCCGTTGTCGCCATGGCAGCTTTTCTTTGCCTCTTCCAGAGAACTTGGTGCATATGGTGATAAGCCAGCGTAGGTGTGGTTCTCAGATACACTTAAATTCTCAGTGAGGCAGCTTTCACACATCGTGCACCTCAGGCTTTTGCTTTAACAGCGGTATGGGTGTTTCGTAAAACACAAGATGGGGAAACTTGGAGGGGCCTTGCCCACTCGTGTACACCCCGTGTGCAGTCCAGGAACACTGCACACACCCACTCCAGTAGGACTCACTGCTGGTGCCAGGTGAACGTGAGGTCACGATTTGGGAACTTTTCTTTTGAAGAAGAAGGAACAAAAAAGTTGCCTGTTAGTGAGTTAGATGGAAGAGTCACAGTGAAGGGTTCTCTCTGAAGGAAGGGAAAGGAGGCTGAGTCGGCCAGTGTCATTCTTTGTAAGTCAGGCATGGCCTTACCCGTGTCCATGCGTTGATTGCAGGTCCTTCGAGATATCCTCAAGGAGGTTCAGAGTAACATGGTACCGCGCAGCATGCTCAAAGAGTGGGCGCTGCACACATTCCCCAACGCCACGGACTACTGGACCTTCCGCAAGATGGTCACCATCCAGCTGGCCCTGATCGGCTTTGCTGAATTTGTCTTGCACCTAAACCGACTTAACCCCGAGATGTTACAGATCGCTCAGGTAATGGGGTGTGAACAGCCAGCCTGGGCCCTGTTGTCGTGGTCGGCCATCATGTTCCTGAAACGCCTCCCTCTGGAATCAGGACACTGGCAAGCTGAACGTTGCTTACTTCCGGTTTGATATCAACGACGCGACAGGAGACTTGGACGCCAACCGCCCTGTTCCCTTCCGCCTCACCCCCAACGTCTCTGAGTTCCTGACCGCCATTGGTGTCTCCGGCCCGCTGACCGCCTCAATGATCGCCGTCGCCCGCTGCTTTGCTCAGCCCAACTTCAAGGTGGGCCCCACCCATGCCTGGTCAGAGACGTGCTAGGGGGATGGAGGCTGTGTTGTTGGTTGGTCTGGGGGTGGTCCTTGGCCATGGGAGTTGAGGATGTTAAGTGGGTTAATTTTCCCTACACTGACCACTGTGGGACAGTCATGTCGACCTGTGTCACAGTGGAACCTCCACAGGATGGCATCTGTCTTGCCAGGGGTGCGAATTTACCAGTGAGCGTGTACTGTGGACACAGCTCTTCTGCAGAGCATGAGGCCTGTGGGGTCTGTTCACTGGCCCCTAGTGCACAACTACCACCCCCACTGTGTCTCGGCACTGTGCTGTGGCCTCTGACAGAACCTCGTACCATAGTTAGGGTGGTGGTGAGGCTGGTAGTGTAACAGGTCACACAGTTGAGAGGCTGGGTCACCTAGCCTGAGCCTGTCTCTCCAGCTGGCAGGTGGAGATTGGGCACCGCTTTGCTTTTTAACTTAAAAGAATGGCTTCCTGCCAACCTCCAGCCCCAACCCCGGACCCAGGCAGTTTATCTCGAAAAAGCTTCAGAAACCAGGTGCTTTCCAACAGCGTAGACGCAGAAGAGTGTGAGCAGGACTGCGTGTCACATGTGCTGTTTTTACCGTTCTTTAGCAAACAGGGCCCCAGTCTAACATTGGGGCATGTGGCTAGTGTCAAAGGCTAGTTTGGGACCCACTGACTGACTCTGAACACAGGTAAAAACCTGTTGGCTTTCGGTTTCCTCTTGAGTCGGGCAGACCACGTCCCAGTGCAATGAGTGCTGGCAGTCTCTGCTGCCGGGCTGGAACATCTTGATTTAGGTAGAAATGTTAATCTGGAAGCCACCAGAGGTGAGCTTAGAGCTGTGTCTGAGAACTTGAGAGAGAGTTAAAGAGGATGTGCTTGGTCTCAAGGCCTGTGAGGACCAGGGTGACACCTGCACCTGGCCAGCACAGACTGTGATGAGTTAGACAGGAGAGACCAGAGCTTCTCCAGATACTGGGCCCGGGTCGTCCAGCCGTCAGTCGGTGACGGCCTCTAAGTTAAGCTAAAGCAGAGCCCGCTCTGTGGGGACGTTTCTGCTGAAAACACACCCTGGTGACCCCTGGTGACCCCGGGTGAAGCAGGAGAACCACCACGACAGCCCCTGGCCTGGCGCACCTCTAAAGCCATCACGGGTCTAACAGCATCCTCTTGACCGCGTTGCCGCATCTCCTGGCCACTGTCGTCGGTGCACACTGCCCCCTCTTTCCCTGCCTCTGCTGGGGAAGCTCAGCTTGGAACTGGCCTCTCCTCCTCCATCCTGACCCCTTGGTCACTCACTCTTGGGACCCTGCCCTCCACCCCGCTAAGGCCCCTCCATTACATCCCCTCCTTGCCCGCCGCCGCCTCCCTGGCCTGCTTGCTCCAGACCTGTGGCTGCTCCCCTGCTCTCTGACCCCGTCCAACCTCTCTCCCCGTTTGGACTGCATGGTAGTCGGTACACTGGGTGCTGAGTCGCGTCCTGGGCTCCAGCAGTGCCTGTGGCCTCACGCGGTCTCATCCAGCCCAGCTCCTCAGGCTGCTCTCTGAGCCCAGGTGTGTCACCCTCCTCCCACAGGTGGATGGCATCCTGAAGACGGTGCTGCGGGACGAGATCATCGCTTGGCACAAGAAGACCCAGGAGGACACTTCCTCCCCACTGTCGGCGGCCGGGCAGCCGGAGAACATGGACGGCCAGCAGCTGGTCTCCCTGGTCCAGAAGGCGGTGACGGCCATCGTGACACGTCTGCACAACCTGGCACAGTTCGAGGGAGGGGAGAGCAAGGTGAACACCCTGGTCGCTGCGGCCAACAGCCTGGACAACCTGTGCCGCATGGACCCTGCCTGGCACCCGTGGCTATGAGGCCGCCCTGGCTCATGTTCACGTCACTCATGGCAGCCCTGATGTCATAGCTGGCGCAGTTCCTTCCCTGTAGTTGTGTGTGAGAAAGGCACGGCTTAGCTCAGCAGGGGCTGCACTGCGATGGCAGCAGGCCTGGAGCTCACGGCAAGCTTTGAAATCACCTATGAAGAGGCCAGCCCCCACCTGGGTCTTCTCTGTGAAGTCTTTTTTACTGTCTCCCTTCCCACCTCGTGTGAATGTACAGCTTGGCCCTTTAACCACCGCCCCAGGCGGCCCGTTTTTAACTTGAAAGTTACGCCTGGCAGGAGCTCTGCACCTCATCCAGACGAAGTCCACTCGGCTGGGAAACCATAGGTTGTCAGTACCCGCTGACTGTGCTCTGAGCACGCAGCCAGTGCTGGGGCCAAGCCCAGCAGAGCCCGCGCATGTACCCTCCCCGTGTTCCACACCTGGGCTGGAGGATGGCATCATGGGCGCCTGCAGGCGAACCACTGGCCCCTCTCGGCTGGCTCTGGATGTCTCTGAGACGTTCTGTCATCGTACCTGGAACAATCGCTTTCCCTCCTAATTTGAAAGAAACCAAGGAACGGAAGTCTTTCTGTTCACACGTCTCTGTCCTGTTCAGTTTTATAAGTCTACACATGGAGGATGTTCTATTGAAATTTGTACAGTGTGATTTTTTTAGAATAAATATTTTATAGAAGGGTTCTTGTCTGTATTCGTCATCCCCTACGTGTGTGAAATGCTGGCTGCTGGGAGGTGGCAGACAGACAGAGGTGTGGGGTCGGCAGCGGGTTGTTGTCCAGTGTGACGTCGGGTGTGAGCACTATGCTGTCTGAGTGGACCCCTGTCCCCTGGACACAGACCTGACTGGGATGAGTGTGGTGATGGGAGCCCCGATTGTGACACCCCAAGTTGTACAGGTGCCCTGGCACCCATGTCTGGCAGCATGGTGGGGCCTGTGTGTGCCTTGTCCGTGTGCAGCATGGGAGCAAGGGGAGATGGGTCCCGTGCAGGCTGGCTGCTCCTTAGGCTGTGTTCTTGCCCATCTGTCTCCGCTGGGGTGGCCGCATGACGAAGCGGGAGCCCCTGCCTCGAAGACGTCGGGACGTTCCCTCACCAGAGGGTGGCAAGAGCCAGGGGAGGTATGAAGGCTGCTGCCTCATTTGAAGCTGTGGATTCTGAACTTGAAGGACTCGCCCAGTGGAAGTGCTGTGTTCACCGAGGAGAGGACAGCCCTTCCTATGTCTCCACAAGGGGCCCTGGGCCCTGCCAGCCACCTTGCCCTTCCCATGTGCCTGCCGCCCTGGCTGGCATGGTGGGGTCATGCTCCCAAACCTCACCAGAGAGTCAGGCCCAAGGGGCAGGACCAGGTGCCCTCTGGAGGCCAAGGCTTGCAATGGGTGCTGAAGAGTGCAGCTCGAGCCAGGCCTGGTGCTCAGGGTGGCTGCCAGGGGCCCTAGCGGGGGTGGACAGTCAGGCTGTGCGGTGCCCTCTTCTCACGGGAGGACTTTCAGCTCAGAACGGGCGAGGGGACAGATGGATGGAGCCATACCCAGCCTGACCCCACACTGCCTGGCATGCCCTGGGCCGATGGCGCCCAGCCCTGGAGGTCGGTCTCTGTGAGGAGCATCTTGGAACCTGGAGTAGCACGAGCTGGGCATCTGTGATGGCAGAGGTTGGCACAGCGCAGGTGTGTGTGGGTCACCCCTCAGTGTTCTGCGCCATGTTGCAGTGAGACCCCCGAGAGTTGGCGAGTGTTCCGAGTTGAGTGCTGTTGGCCCAGTCACACGTGGAGAAGGGGCCCTTACGGGTGTGTCAGAGGTTGCATCTGTCTCATGTCCTTGGCTCTACAGGCTGAACCCTCATGGCATGGCCATAGCCCCACCATGAGCACAAGAAGTGCCACATTGGTGTGAGGCCAGCTTTTTAGGTAACTGCAAGTTCATGAAGGTTTTTTGTTTTTTTAAATGCATTTTATTGAAATAAAACTTATGTACAATGAAATACACAAAACTCAAGTGACATGGGTCAATGTATTTATTTATTTTTTTTTTGTAGTGTTCCCTCCCACTCCTGGCAACCAATCAAGAAAGTTTCCCTCCATATATAAACCTTTCATTGATCCTCCACAACAACTAATACTACATATATCCTTTTATGATTGACTTATTTCACTCAGCATAATGTCCTCCAAGGAGCTCTGGTAGCATAATACCTAAGGCACTTGACTGCTAACCAGAAGGCTGGCGGTTCAAACCCACCAGCCATTCCTTGGAAGGAAGGTTGGGCAATCTACTTCCGTAGTGATACTGCCTCGGAAACCTAAGGTCACTATGAGTTGGGGCCGACTCAACGGCACACAACAACAACAACGTCCTCCAAGTTCCTCCATGTTATGTAGTGTTTTGCAGACTCTACATTATTCTTTAGTGCTGCATAGCATTCCATTGTGTGTATGTACCATAGTTTGGTCATCCATTCTTCCGTTGATGGGCACGTAGGTGGTATCCATGTTTTTCCTATTGTAAATTGTGCTGCGATGAACCTAGGTGTGCATATATTTCTTCCTGTCCTGGCTCTCCCCTCTCTAGGATATATACCTAGTAATGGGATTACTGGGTCAAATGTATCTCCAATTCCAGCTTTCTAAGGAGTCACCATACTGCTTTCCACAGTGGTTGTATCACGTCACAGTCCCACCAGCAGTGTATGAGAGTCCCAATCTCTCCACAACCTCGCCAGCATTTGTTATTTTCTGTCTTGTTGAACCTTGCCATCAGTGCTGGGGTGAGATGGTATCTCATTGTTGCATCTCTCTGATGGCCAATGATCGTGAGCATCTCTTCATGTGTTTGCTAGCCACCTGAATATCCTCCTTGGTGAAGTGTCTATTCATGTCTTCTGCCAATTTTTCAATTGGATTGTTAATTCCTTTGCTGTTGAGGCATTGGATTTTTCTGTAGATCGTAGAGAGAAGCCCCTTGCCAGATACGTAATTATCAACAAGTATGAATTTGTTGCCGTCATTTTTGTTACGTGCTATTTCGTGGTGGCGATTTCTTTGTTCCATATAATTTTCTGTGCTGGGCTAGTTTTGTTTATGAATTGTTTTATCACTTCCTTCATTGCTTTTGTTTTAGTATTTGCTAAATATTTGTGCTGGTCCTCTTTTTTATTTTGATGTGAAGGTTTATAATTTTTCTTTGAGGTTACCTTGTGATTTATAGTTTTCTTCCCAAGTTTAGAACAGTCTGTTATGTCTTGTAGTTGTCTTGACTTCCCTACCATTTAGAAGGTCTATAACTACATAATTTTTTCTCTCTTTTTGGTTTGTAGTTGTCTTCAATTGTTAATTGATGTCTCTGATTCTCTGTTTATAATCTTGTGGGCTTGCTTACTTTGGATACTTCTATAGCTGGGTTGGTTTCTGGGTTACTTCACCATGTGTGTTAATGGTCAGTTATTGTTGGCTGTTGTTGGTTCTCTGTCCAAAGGACTCCCTTTTGCATCTCTTGTAAGGTTGGTCTGGTTTTAACAAATTTCCTTAATTTCTCCTTATCTGGAAATGTCCTAATTTCACCATCATATATGAGGGACAGTTTTGCTGGGTACATAATTCTTGCTTGGAAATTTTTCTCTTTCAGAGTTTTATATATACCATCCCATTGTCTTCTTGCCTGCGTGGTTTCTGCCGAGAAATCCGAGCTTAGTCTTATTGGCAACCAACCGATCAAAGAAAGTTGATGCATTGAATGCCAATGACCGAAAACCAGAAGAATTATGGGATGACATCAAGAACATCCATGAAGAAAGCAAGAGATCATTAAAAAGATGAGAAAAGAAGAAAAGACCAAACTGGATGTCAGAAGAGACTCTGAAACTTGCCCTTGAATGGAGAGTAGCTAAAGCAAATGGAAGAAATGACAAGATAAAAAAGCTGAACAGAAGATTTCAAAGAACAGCTCAATCAGACAAATCCAATTACTATAATGAAATGT